CCGGTGCAGACTGCTAACTAAGTTTGCGATGAAGCCGGCCTTGTTGACAAAGTCGACATTGGCCATGGTTAGTTCCCCGAGCTGTTGAGTCACATCCCGGGCAGTCTGGTTGAGCTGGAATGATGTTCCAACATCGGCATCGTAGAAAATGGAGGCGAAGACAAGTGCCAGTATTTCGTACAATTCAGACTCAGCAAAAATGCCCCTTGGGTTAGACTCAGTCTTCAGGGGCAGAGAGAATACATTTGCGCAGAAATGGACCTGGGCGTAATTTGCGACATCTCGGACAATATCGACTTGATTGACGCCACCCAGCTGGTAAGAATGTTGGCGTAGGAGTTTTATGGTGATATCCTCATAGAATCGCTTCACCTCACTCTCCCACTTGTCGCGGTATAGGGCCGAGCCCATCATCCTGCGTGATGCAGCGTTGGGTGGCTTGTCACCCGACAGCATGAAATCCCGACCATAAGGGTGATTGTTGTGGCGCATCAGAAATTCGATCTTGCTTCCCCAAGTGACCTTGAACGTCTCTTGGTCGTTGAGAACGGAAATACAAGCCGCATTAGAGCTGATGAATTGCGGCAAAGGCGTGTAACTCGGCCGGCCCCAGCTGTAATCTTGAGCAACCGAAAGCTTCTCAAGAATCTTCTTGTTCTCAGATGGGATGACCAGAGGGAAGTGTGCGTAAACGGAATCGCCTTTGAAGTGATTAGGAAACGCACGCAGCACCAATTTGTAAAAGACCTGCCCCTGGTCAACGGAGTCCTGAGGCTGTATTTCGTTGTAAGCCCAGTTTGTGAGATGCTTTGGTGTGTAATCAACCGTGTAGAAACGGTCTCCACGGACAAGGGACACCGCATCGGACAGGATGGCTCTTGATATTGTGAAGTTTGTGCACAGACCGCTTCCAGGCACTATTGCGTCTTTCGTAGCCTCCACGATAACGCCGGGATACATCTCCACCAGGTCAGGTTCATCATACAGGTTCTTGAGCTGGGCAGCAATGTATGGATCAGGATTGATTTCCTCGAAGGTCTTGTAAGGCGCAAGGTCGAAAAACTTGCGGAATTCGTTCAGGGTAGCCAAGTTCCAAGAACGCGCCTGCAAGATACCGAGGGCCTCGATATTCCTGAAGACTGATGGAATGTTACCTGCACCAAAGGCACCGGCACAATCCTCAACGCCATCCGCGAACATGTTCGCGAGGTCGCCATCATCGAAGGCACCATCTGCATTACGCTGTAATCCAGCAAATGGACGGTCCGGGGGTAGTTCTGGTAAGCTTGCTTCCCACTTGGCCACGCCCCTAATAAATTCCTGTAATGAAACATTGTTGGGATCCTTTCCTGGGAACAGATCTTTGTACAGATCCTGTGTCCATTTCTCGTCACGCTGAGATATGCAAGCATGCCAGCGGTAGACGAGATTGAATTCAGCAGACACCTGGTTGCCCGTAGCTTCCGCTGGGGCGCTTCCTAGCAAGCTATCCTGGATATCAGCTCGAGGATCCAAGCTCCACAGACTGTCTGTTCGATTGATATTCAATATAGTCCGAACATAATCTTTGAGAATAATGTTAATGTATAGGCCACACGTGACCAACCGACCAGTCTGGAAGAGATCGTTGTCGTACTTCGTGCTGGCGTCGACATCGGACTCATCTGGTTTGGTGAAACGGCCTCCTTCATTGATAGTCGCCAAATTTTCAACAACATAGTTGTGGAAGCGGTTGAACATCACCAGAAGTACGCCGACACCGGGAGGGAAACCAAGAACACGTTTGCTAGAGAAGCAGTCCGGCTTGAGTTTCCCATCCTTGAAAGTCCTGACGAGATCCTGCTCGTCTTGGTTGTTGCCATAGAGCGGCGAAAGATCCAGATACGAGGAGGTTTTGTTCAAAGTGAAGTCACTGCGGTCCGTTTGGAATAGATCTTTGAGCATGTCAGCTGGCAGAACTTATGAAAAGAAACATGAATTATGCCATGCTTACCGTGAATGATGACGGAGGCGAGATAGAACAAGACACTGGAAATCTTGTTCGGGTGCTCCTTGTATTCTTTTCTTTCCAGTAAAGAGGCGAACAGCGTGCTTGGGTCCGGCAGCGAAGGCGACTGAACAGTTGTTGGGCGTACAGACCTGGCATAGTGGCTACCGGCTGCACCAATATGAGGCCACAGGAAGTTCTGTCAATGAAGAGTTAATGAAGACCTTCCAGAAGAGTTCGGGAGACACTGTACATTTCCTGATCCATCGGCCTTGCGATACGAAGAATCCCGGCCTAGGTATCTACATTCCTCAATGAGTCTCTCATTGAACGTCATGCCCAATGAACTTACGAAATTGGAGGATGCTCCAGGTCATTCCAGAGTTGCTTGAGGAAGGCGTTCGTCAAGTCCTTCCCATTCTTAGAAGTCGAAGGGAGTCCGGCAGCAAGCTGGGCTTGGTCAGACGGACTCGACAGGTTCAATAGGCAAGAGTAAGCACTAACCTGAATCACTCGCTCCATTATATAGTGTCTATCATCGACTGGCTGGCCTGTTACAGCATCCTTGACGACCTCAAGCAGGGCCTTGATATCAGTGAAGTCGACATGGCTAAGGTCCTTGACAATTCCCGTTTGATCAGGCTCAGTAATATAGGTCCCGTTTCCAGTCGCCGTAGGTAAAGGCCGCAAGGATGCTGAAATAGCTTTTTCGACCTGGGAAATTGTGCTCCCAATGCCGTTCACAATGGAATGATTATTTGCGCCAGACATTGCGTGTAGGCTGATATTATACAAGTTGTTGTCCAAGAGGTGCAATGCCGCTGCATACCCAAAAAGCCAAGATCAGCATGATGTTCCAATTATGCTTAACCTCGACTCTACAAATAAGAGGAAAGAGGGGCAGATAGATCTCCATCTCATGACTCTAGGACTATGGATTGTCCCAAACAAGACCCACCTCATGAAGTCATAGAAAGGTTGCTCACCTCGGGAGTCTAGACGTTCTGGAACCGCGCCGGCTACCGAGGAATGCGAACGGCGAGGATGTTGAGTGCGGGGAAGAACTTAGTTAGGTAAACAAGAAGGGTATCAGTATAGACAAGAATTAATCCCCGTGGTAATGGGAGCTGAGGTATATACTAAGACGCAGGGGACTCAATGCGAGAATGCGCATGAGAAGTTGGGGGGAAAATCAAGCAAGGAAAGATATTCAGAGGAACGGTCTTTATAGGGTCTTGTCAGCGTCATAGCAGCACCCGAAGAGAGGAACAGCCGAGTCGGCAACCCCGAAGAGAATGAATAATACTACTAAATGTCCACGGAGCGATAGCAGACACCGGCGTCCTGTCCGTAACGAGGAATACCTCATTGGACGTGACAGGTGAGCAGACAGCCTTCTGATTCGCGTGCATGAGACATGACCTCGGCGCAGTTCACACCGTATGCAAGGCTAACAGGTGGATGCGGACTATGATCGAACATGCCTTAGCACCAAACTCTCGATGGGTGGCCTTATCCACAGTTTAGACAAGACGTATGGCGTGCGCAGCCGAAGAAGATACGAGGGATAGTCATGGATGGACCGTATCGTGAGGCTTTGGACGGGTGGCCCTGGCAGTGTCCCCGGCAAACTCGACTGGCGGGGACTCTTTTTCAGCCGGGCAAAAACCCGGTCGATCTGCGGCTGGAGCTTCAAGTTAGCGAAGGCGGGTGGGAGGAGCTGAAAAGAGTGCCAGAAGATCTTGCAAATCCAGCGCACTGTTTTATTATTCCCCACCCTCCTATTTCATCGTCGTTCGGGGACCTGTGCTCATCCAAAGTTTGCGAGTTGCCCTTGACACCTGGTCGGGGTTACTGGTACTTCATCGGGTAATGGTTGACAATACGGTCAATTCGGGGATGGGGGGGATCTTAGAGTAGAGAGATCCTATCAGAGCGCCTCCCTTTCGTTCCCAACGAGGCCAGTGGATAGTGGCAAGCACGAACTGCATGGATAGTCTGGCTTGGGATGTGGTGAGTTGCTGTCAAGTGGGCGGGCTGCTGCTTAGTACGGGGTAGATGAAGGTATGCCGCTAGCACCGAGCTAAAGACGGAGCTGCTAAATGAGCGGGGGCAAAAATGAAGAAAGGCTGGCTGACAGACTGGGACTAAGGCGCCACTATTTCCTCCGTACACACTGTCGGATAAAGCTGAACGCTACTATTCTGTTTAGTACGTCTATCAGGTCTAGCCAGTCCCGGTAGTGACCTTGACAATCGGGACAATCGTAGCGGGCGCATATGTTTGGCTGACTTGCTGATACACAATGGCGTTCATAAATTTCAGTCTTGATCCATTTCTGATGGCTCCAATTACGCCATCCTCCTTCTGTTGTATCTTGTGGCCCATCATCACCGATAATACTTGATTGTAATGGTCTCAAGTCCATATTTATCCGGAATATACGTACTATCAACAGCACAAACCAAGCAGGGAAAAGAAAAAAAAAATAATAGTCATAATAATAGCAATTGAATGGCGTATTGAATAAGCAAAAGGCATAACTAAATCTTAGAATGCCGATATGACCAAATGCTGAGAGATACAGCAAGAAGGTAGCACTCTGTAGCAGGCAGCGAAAACGTGGGAACAAGATAATAAGCACAAAGGAAGAATGGGAAAAGCAAAAACATTAAAGTGAATCTAGTAAGATATGTAAGCACAGGGAAGGGCCTTGACAACTCTCTGTCAGCGTCACTGTGACGGACAAGGTATCGACTTGGGGATTGTTTGTCCCTCAAGTATCTACTCCGTACTCCGATAAGTAGTACTGAACGACCCTTCCGGGTAACAATAGTAAACTCTTTTAGAAGTTTGGTCCCCGGCAGATCGTCCCACGTGATGCTTCGCGGGCCGAGGAGGAATGCCTGGGGTCTTTCTTAGTATGATTAGTCTCGATACACTAAGCAGCTCACTAGTCCGCAATGGCCTCTTGACTAGCCGCTTTTTGCTGGGCTACTCTCAACAAGTCTGTCGCTTCCGTTAACCGGGTACATCTGCGCCATCAATACTATCTTTCCTCGTATACAAACCCTGGCACTGTGCTCTTACCTCAGCTCACGTGGCATAATCCTCACATAACATCCCCTGTGCCTGCCGGGTCATTACGAGCCTGCGTGTCTTCAGCCCAATCCCAATGGCGTCCCTCACTTTGGTTGTTCAGCCCCGGGGTAAGTTTCCTGGCCACCATCATCTCCCTTCCAGTCAATGTCAATCAATATCTCCGAACCGAACTGACATTGGCTTCCCATCATTTAGGTAAACCCATTAAGAAGCTCCCCAAGGAGGTTCAGGTGTCCTCCAATGCCTCGACCGCCGAAATCTACAAGAAGCTCGCGGAAGCCTCGGGCTTCTCCATCCACCGTCTCAGGATCACCAAGGGTAGCGATCGCACTGTAGTCCCCAACTCCAAGGACTCGACCGTCGACGGAATCGGTCTGAAGGAAAAGAGCGTCTTGCACATCAAAGATCTCGGTTAGTAGATAAGCTGACACAACCCCATCCCAAACTACACCACCACTATATCCCGACTCATTCACTAACCGTCTCCATAATCTTCAGGCCCCCAACTTGGATGGCGCACCGTCTACATTATCGAATACCTCGGACCGCTCTTCATCCCGGCTCTCTTCCTCTTCCCCCTCCGCCCATATGTCTACTTTAACTTCGACAAGCCACTTCCCGACCCATCGCAGTTCCAGCTCCTGGTCTGCGCCCTCCTGACCATCCACTTCATCAAGCGCGAATACGAAACCGCCTTCGTCCACCGTTTCAGCAATGCCACCATGCCCGCACGCAACATCGTCAAGAACAGCGGCCACTACTGGGTCCTAGCCGGTTTGAACATCGCCTACTGGGTCTTCCGTCCTGACTCCCCCGCCGCCACCATCCAGGACTCTTTCCTCCTCTACAGCGGTCTGGCATTGTTCATTTTCGGCGAGCTTGCGAACCTAAACGCTCACCTTGTGCTACGCGACCTGCGCCGTCCCGGTACCACGGAAAGAGGCATTCCCTCCGGATTTGGATTCAACGTCGTCACCTGCCCCAACTACTTCTTCGAGGTTGTCAGCTGGGTGGGCGTCTACCTGCTGAGCGGAATGAGCTGGAGCGTTCTCTTCTTCATTGTCGTTGGTACCGTGCAGATGGCTCTCTGGGCTAAGAAGAAGGAACGCCGCTACCGCAAAGAGTTCGGTGACAAGTACAAGCGCAAGCGCTATGTTATCCTGCCCGGTCTGTACTAGACAAGAGCACGGTTACTTTGAAAAAAAGTAGTACGCGTGATGTGCGAGGTTATCGGCCTCGCATGCGTTGTCTTGGCATTGGCCAAGCTTACCCGGGACCTTGCATGTACCTCGACTGCGTTCGGGGGTAAGGTGTGCGGAGAGATGAATGGTTCTCGACGATCGAGAAGATTACGGCAGAGTTTTGTTCTCTGCATGATAGTTTGTCCACCAATGTGTAACCTATTATGATAGATTATAGTCCGGTTGTTAGTTTTATTACGAGAGTTATGCGGAGGTTATTAGTTATTGACGTGGACGAATAATAATCATGTTTAATTTGAGCAATAATGCTATTGGGTTGCGAGGTAGTAGGTAGTAGGTAGTTTTCATGCAGCATTGGAAAGAATGCGCTGGCTGCTCTATGGACCAATATCACAATACCAAAGTCCGAAGACAAATTGTCAAATAAACTCCCAACACCAATGGAAATGAAATCATACCCAAACTCCCCCAAGCAAATATGGGCATTACATTATGGAACAGCGAAAAATGAGAGGGGAGAAAACAGACACGAGAGAAAGAGGTTACTCATTCTTCATCTTTCCCGCCCAAAGCCGATAATACGGCTCCATTTCCTTCTCGCAACTCCGCTTCGTGTCGGTGTCACAGCCAAGGAACCGAATGACGAAGTCACCGTCCTTATAGACGCCGTCCACGCCAGCCCCGTTTGAATCCTTGCTGTATGCATTGATGGTCCGCTGTGGAACCAGAGCCAATCTGGCCAAGATAGTTGGGTGCCATTGCACAATGTGATCCTGGACAGGAATTGATGACGTAGGTTAGTTACTTAGTCTGGTGACGCAGGAAAACATGAAGCAAAAGCAAAAAATAAAGAACCGGTTTTGATAAGGCGAGCATCCGACTAGAGGTGTACGGCGGAACAATAGAAAAGCTAAAGAGGATAGATGCGTAATGTGTCTCCTCACTTACCAGAACGTGGGTCTCGGCCTTTGCAAAGTTATAGCTAATGTACAGAGGGTCGAACCAGAAGTCGAGGAAGTATTTGGCAAAATCACCCTGTCGAAGGAGGAAGCTACCGGAGCTCAAATCCTCCGCATCGGTGGTCATAATGAGATCGACATCTTGAGCCTGTATATGCGAAAACGTCTTGATTATGCTATCGGGAGGCACGACGGAGACGTCCTTGAGCATGAGGGATTCGAGACGGTCCTTGTCGAGGACGTGCGATTCAAGTGATTTGCTCGGGTTCATTATTAGGGCGTGAGCATCTAGGTGGAAGAAGTACTTCGAGTACGGGTTGGAGGCCATCGCGTGACGGAGGGCTGGGAGGACGGCCCAGGACTTCGGGGCGTTATCGAGGACGGTTTCATAGTCGGACACGTTGGCGAAGAAGTTCGTATAGCCTGAATCACAATTGTGAGACATTAGAACAGTTACTCAACACGAGGAAAGTGACTGGGTTACTGTCGCCTTACCATGTCGCTTAGCATAGTCCTCTCTGTTCTTGACGATCTTCTGGATGTACTCGTTACTCCAAGCCGTCCTGTCTAGAACGGTGACGACGACGATGCTGGATGTTCCTGCTGGTACGGCGGGGGCCCCTGTACTTGTGTAGAAGAACTGGGAAAGAAGGAAGAAGACGGTGAGCAGGGCGAAGCCCAGAATTGCCACAGCTTTGAGCTGTTTCCTGCGCTTGAGTGAGATTCGCGACGAGCGAGCGTACGGAGGGGTTATCGGAGTCCTCCGCGGAGGCAGAGCGAACTGCATGATGCGTGTACTTGTCCCCAGCGGGTAGATGCTGGGCGACTGTGAAAGATGTAAAGATAATCAATTGCAATTCCGTTGGATCAGGACATTCTAGCACGTAGTTACGAGCTTGGAGCGGAGGCAGCATCAATTGCTTGTAACTGATCCGGCTTCACGGGCTCCTCTGCCGGATCCGGAAATGCGCCCGCGGATCTTTGTTGGTCCGAGAGATCGCAGCATTCCAGGCACAAAGCCGATGACCTTGCAGATTGTCTATTATGAGAGACATTCCAAGGCCAGTGATGATGATTATTAATGGTTGGCTCATGATGAAGTAAGGTTGTGGTTGTTTAATGTCTATGTATAGATACGATGATATCTTCCCATTCGGGCACGTTGGATCCCGCATGGATTGCATCGCAAATCTTCCAGAGTCACTCGCAACTTTCTAACGTGGTGATGGATCAGTGTTGTATATGTAAGGAAAGGTATTGGCTCAGACACGTTTACCATACCGAGGGCCAATCTGCAAATATGCTTGAGTTAGTCCCTTCAACGCCATGTGGACACCAAGGTCAATTAATCCAAATTGCATTGGTAACATATAAATACACTGAAGAGCGCATCACGCAAATCCAAGCAGTCCATGCAAGATCTAAATAGTAGCTGTACAGTCGTCTTTTTCACCATCCGAGATATATGAAAGCGGTATGCAGACGCTGTCGACCATGACCAAAGAAATAATAATACAACAGACGCCCATCCGTTGGTCACCAGATAATCAACCGAAATTGACCGTCCCAAATCGACTTTGCTAGAGACATGCCCCGTAGGTCTCTAGTACTGTTTCTCGTTGTACGTTGGCTTCGTGATCTCCTTGATATTCGTCTCCTCCTCCACCTTCGCCTTGATCTCGTCCTCCTTCTGCTTCACCCACTCCTCGAACGTAGGCGGTTCGGGCAAACCCAGCTTTTTCCGCTCTTCCCGGAATCTCTCTTGAATCTTGGGCGTCTGCATTATCTTCCACCGCAACTCCCAACCAAAGATACCCATCTCCCTGATACGGCCCGGGCGGTCGCTCAGAAGGTAGTTGTCGAGGCCACCGGCCTTCCGGATCGTGCGCAGCGCTTTGCGCGTGACCTTGATGAAAAGGTCCTCTCCGAGTGCTTCGCTGTAGAGCTTCTTCCGACGAACGTTGGGCTTCCAGAATCGGCGGGTCTTGCCCTCATTGCGGCCTTGTGAGATCTTGTTTCCGAATTGGATCATCGCGCCTCCGTAGAGACCGGAGTTGGACTGCTTGAAGACATAGTTCGGACCGTAGGGGTAAGGAGGGATGTAATCCGGCAATTGTTTCGTCTTCTGTGCCGCCAATGTCGTGGAGAAGGAACGTTTGGGGGTCGTGACGGAAAGGTTGCGAAAAGCCGCAGAGAGGGAGAACGGAAGGGACATGGTCGAACGAGTCTGTAAACCCGCCATTGTGTAGATCAAAAGGTCGATAGGCAGTCGACCATGACAGGGAATTGACCGGGGAAGAGAAGAACGGGCGCCGGCAGAGCACAGCAGCAGCGGACGAGATAGTTGGAGATAGGCGTGGACCGTCCAGCACCGGATGGTGAAAGAATTTGGGGGTCGCGGCTGACCGCCTTGGCCACGGCCGGCTATCATTGATCGATTCTCCCCAGCTGCGCTTGAATTTCGGCCAGAAGCAGCTGCATCCAGACTCGTCTTTCCTTCCATCATCTCCAGGCTTTTCTGATCCTGTCAGCTCTTCCTACTTCTCGTGTGTTTTCCTCCTTGCCGAAACTTTCTACAACCCCACGATCGCATATCTGTGGCTTCTGAGTGAGGTCACAATCCCTTCACCATGGTCCAAATCAGTGAAGTGAAGGGCAACTCGCGCGAGAACAGAACCGCGGCCCACACGCATATCAAGGGTCTTGGTCTACGACAAGATGGCACTGCGGAGGCGTCAGGAGATGGTTTCGTTGGACAGGCAACTGCTCGTGAGGTACGCGACAACATTGGCGCTCAGAAGTCTTACTCTCTAAGCTCTTAAACCTATGTACTAACCCGGAGGCTTGACATGACAGGCATGCGGTGTTGTTGTTGATTTGATCAAGGCGAAGAAGATGGCCGGTCGTGCCGTCCTCCTGGCCGGTGGACCCGGAACTGGAAAGACTGCTCTGGCCCTCGCCGTGTCGCAGGAGCTGGGAACCAAAGTCCCCTTCTGTCCGATCGTTGGTAGTGAGATCTACTCTGCTGAGGTCAAGAAAACAGAGGCACTCATGGAGAACTTCCGGAGGGCAATTGGTACGCGATCCGTACAATCTTGACGCGAAAGTCTCAATAGGCTCTAATGCATCGATAGGTCTCCGTGTTCGCGAAACGAAGGAAGTATACGAAGGTGAAGTCACGGAACTTACACCCGAAGAGACGGAGAACCCTCTGGGAGGATACGGACGCACGATCAGCCATCTGATCATCGGCCTAAAATCTGCCAAGGGCACCAAGAAGCTGCGCCTGGACCCCAGCATCTACGAAGCTATCCAAAAGGAGCGGGTCACCGTGGGAGACGTCATCTACATTGAAGCGAATACCGGAGCCTGCAAGCGTGTCGGACGGTCCGATGCCTACGCCACCGAGTTCGATCTTGAAGCAGAGGAATACGTGCCCGTACCGAAGGGAGAGGTTCACAAGAAGAAGGAAATCGTCCAGGATGTGACGCTGCACGATCTGGACATGGCCAATGCGCGGCCCCAGGGTGGACAGGATGTGATGAGCATGATGGGACAGCTCATGAAGCCCAAGAAGACCGAAATCACGGAGAAGTTGCGCCAGGAGATCAACAAGGTCGTCAACCGCTACATTGACCAGGGCGTTGCGGAGCTCGTTCCCGGTGTCCTCTTCATCGACGAGGTAGACTATTCCAGCCCTTCACAGCCTTACCTTACAATCAGTTGCTAACCCCACCCCTAGGTTCACATGCTCGATATCGAATGCTTCACATACCTCAACCGGGCCCTCGAGTCCTCCATCTCCCCCATTGTCATCCTTGCCTCTAACCGCGGCAACACGGTCATCCGCGGCACCGACGACATCTCCGCCGCCCACGGCATCCCTCCCGACCTTCTCGCTCGTCTCCTCATCATCCCCACCCACCCTTACTCTCCCGATGAGATCAAGACCATCATTCGTCTGCGCGCCAAGACGGAAGGCCTCAACATCACCGACCCCGCCCTGGAGAAGGTCGCCGAGCACGGCAGCAAGGTCAGCTTGCGGTATGCTCTGCAATTACTCACCCCGGCTAGTATCCTTGCCAAGGTGAATGGACGCCCAGGAGGTATCGAGGAAGCCGACGTGGCAGAGTGCGAAGACCTGTTCCTTGATGCGCGGAGGAGCGCCACGATCGTGAACCAGGATAGTGAGAAGTACCTCAAATAAGCGGGACGTGGCATACTACTTGGCTGGATTTTTGGGGAGCAGGCAAGACGGGGTGTGAAGAGAAAGCGAACGAAAGAAACAAACAAACAAACACATACAAGAAAGCAATATGTATACCATGTCTGCAGGTCTTATTATTATTTCCTAACTAAACCGGGAAGAGCGATTGCTTCTCCTATGAATGAGCTATTTTACGTTAATGTCAACTACTAGTATTAGGATTCTCTTTCAACCTCCGGAAACGTGTTGATAATATTTCTCGTCTAGTAATATCCGTAAACGTCCCAAGACTCTTCCCTCTAACAAACATCATTCTTCAAGAAGTCTTCTCCTTACTAGCAGCAGCAGCATTGCACATCGGTCTAAATCTTGTCTTCGCCTTCACAGCTGCACCCGGCAAAGCTCTAAACAAAACCAAAACGAGTCTCATAATGAGAACATAAACATGAACCAAACGAATAATCGTCCGGATCACATTATCTCTCAAGCCGAGGCCCGGGGGCCCTGAAGCCGCCGCCTCCAGAGGATCCTGGTGGAATTTCACGTGGAATGGAGCCTCGGCGCCTAGGTCCTGTATGGCGATTCTAAGACCAGCCGTGATGGCATCTTCTAAGTGTCCGCGTCCTGTCCAGCAGAAACCGTAACTCAGACCACGCTTGTTCTGGATGGAGGGGAGATGGTGTTGTGCTATCAGGGTCTGGGCGCTTGGTTCGGGGTCGGTGAACTCCCATACACCTTGCACTTGGCTTGGGTGGGGTGGAGTGAAGGGGTTCAATGTGATGTAGATGGGGCCGAAAAGGTGGGATGGAATGCTGTCGAGGAAGTTGGCGATGTAGATGAGGCTGGAGATGTGGGATGTAGTGGTAGTGGTGTTGTTGCTTGGTTGGGTTGGCCAGTCTTGGTTGCTGGGGCCTAGGATGTAGTTGCAGGCGGGGCCGGGGTCCTCGACGCTGGGCATGAGCTGGTTTGTGCGGTTAGTAGGAGATTATATATAAGCGGTTATGACTTACAAGAGGGTCTGAATGTAAAACAGAAATGTTTCGGGTTGATCCCAAGCTTCGCATGATCTCCTTTTCTTGCTCGTTTGCGAGCGGTCCCAATATCTTGATAGTCTCCTGGCCGTTCACGGCGAAGACGATATGGTTGAAGAACATTTCTTCGCCCGCAGATGTCATGATGCCATACTTCTTTCCATACTGAACGACCTCCCTTACTCTGGTCTTAAGATGGACCTTGGAGGAGGGGAAGCTTTTCGTCATGGTCTGGATGAAATGACTCACCCCTGGTCCGATACGACGCCAGTCTGGCAAGGCTTGACGGGGCCTCAGCAGCTGATGATCACACAGAGCCTGGACGAGAGCTTTCGCAGGCACCCGTGGCAGGAATTTCCCCGCATTTGTGCTCCACAGCATGGACAGCAGTGGAGCTAGGTAGTTCTCGATAAAGATATTGGAGTACTCTTCGCCTGCGAGGTACTCATGCATAGATAATGACTGGGCGTCGGTGGGGTTACAAGCCTCAAAGCCCTGATCAAGTACGTCCACGGCCATGTATCTCATCCAAATAACATCGCACAGTATACGATAGGTCTCAAAGTTGCAAAGCGTCCATGGACGAAGAAGAATACTTTTCAGTACGCTACCACACCATTGGAAACTGTCAATCCCATCTGTAGCCCCAAAGGAGAACGGAGCCTTGACACCGGTAATCCCGAGGTGGTCTAACAACGAAACGAGGTTGGCTGAAGGTGTGAATTAGTCAAGAAAGATACGGGCTCAGAGATTGCCACTAACGAGAAGTCCCAGCATTGAAAGTGGGAGGACTTGTATTGACATCAACTCGGTGATCATTATGCTCAAAAGGCAGGGCCTTTACGCGCCCACCAAGAGAGTCCGAGGCTTCAAAGAGATGGACATCATGGGTGGAATTCCGCAACGCCCAGAAGGTCGTGATACCCGTGCAACCGCCCCCTATAACAGCAACACGCTCAGGCTGAAAGAGCGGCATGAAAACAACAGCTGTTAGCGGTTAACCTTGCCATCGAGCAGGTCAACCGAAGAGAACGACAAGAAGAAATCGGCGTGAATTTAGCGCCTTTGAGATATTGATTTAAGAACCAGTCGCAGTGTCTAGTGCACAGCTTGGAAAGATTGTAAAGTACTCCTTGCCCTATCCGGAGGTACTGGGATAGGGAACATTGGAGTGGCAAGATAGTAGAACAGTCTCACAGAAAGATCGAAGACCAAGGGTGACGAAAGATTTATCAAGACATCCACGCGCGCTCAGATCCCGGTCTGCTACGCGCTTTTGTCCTCATGTGGCGGTCAAATGTGATCGCATCAGATGACAGACACAGATAGGGCGACTCGGCCAGAGTCTTCAAGGAATGTTCCTTGAAATTAAAGCAGATCTACCAAAAAGAGGGCCGAAACGAAAACTAGGGTAAATATGTGACATGTCACTAGTGAGGGGGGCCTAGGAAGAGGGCCAATATAAGAGTCGAGGAGGAAGCTCCACCGATCTGAGACGGAAATAATGAGGGGGGCGAATCCTGGAGAAGTTAATTGACCACGAGTCAGGGGACCATTTCCCTCGAAGCAGTGGAAAGGAACAAGCCAACCATAATGTCAGCCTCCCACAAGCGAGGGTGAGCGCTGGGACCCTGGATTGGAGGAACGGCGTTCAACGGCACGATGAATGGAATCCATACAATCGATCTGTTGGTCGAACTTGGCGCCAGATGTGATGCAACTACATTGTACTAGACTAATAAGTTAGTCTGGTTTAACGACCGTTGAGCCCGACGACGTCAGCCGGATCGATTCCTCTGCCTCGGCCGCCGATCACGTGTGGCTGTCGCCGTTCCTGTCATCGCCGCAGTCCAGCCAGTTGTCTCAACTCCATGCATCTGCCTATCCTGTCTGCTTTCCATCCAGTTGCATCTCTGTCTGCCCTTCTGATATACCGGTTTTGATTTTCGAGCTGATACTGGTTCATTCTCTAATAGACCGTGTCATTTACTCCGTTGATTGTCCCAATCTCGTTTCCCGGAGCAGCACGGGCGCCGCCAGCCACCACGGAAGATAAGGTGGCTATTCCGTACTACTCTCTCCACTTACTTGGATCCGCAACCCCTATCCACTGATTAATCCGGCTGTGAAACATAACCAGAGTCTCTTCAACCTACGCAAACCCCTCACCTAATATCATAATGTCGAACCCGTTGGACACCGACGCCGGCTCGGAGCTCTTCAGCAGCTACGAGACCGAGCTAAAGCTGGTGCAAGCCGATCTGAATCAGAAGTTGGACCAGATCGCCGAGTCAAGCGGTGAACAACGAAAGTCAGCAATTAGGCAAGCCGAGAGAGCCCTGGATGAAGCCACGGAATTGGTATGTTGGACGCATTTGGCGAGAAGCGCGCCCCGCGTCAATTTTCCACTAACAGGCGGGAATACAGCTAGATCAAATGCGCATGGAGAAGCAGAACATCCCTTCAGCAGCACGATCGAAGATCAACACGCGCGTTCGCAACTACGCTACCGATATCGACGAGGCCAAACGCAAGTTGAGGTCTCTTTCCGATGACCGCAAGGCGCTCTTCGGCGACCGCTACACAGATGATCCGCAGGACGAACATCTGGAACAAAGGCAACAGCTCCTGTCTGGTACGGAGCGGTTGGAGCGGAGTTCCGCCCGGCTCCAGGAGAGTCAGCGCATCGCCCTCGAAACGGAGGATATTGGTCGCAACACCTTGGCCGACTTGAACCAGCAGCGCGAGACGATCATGAATGCGCGGGGTCGGCTGCTCGAGAGCGAAGGATATGTAGACACCAGTATCAAGACACTAAGGGGCATGGCCCGTAGGTACTGTCCCCCTAACACTCAAGGACATTTGCTTCGCTACTTGTCGCAGCTGCTTGACTGCTCAAATGCTTACTGTATTCTAGGATGGCTACGAATCGGTTGATCACAATTGCAATCATCACTGTCTTGATCCTGTTGATTTTTGCCGTTATCTACAGCAAGTTCCATTGAGCGTGGGTTTGGAAGGCGTTATTACCGGTGGCCTCTCTTTCATTTTTTTTTCCCTCTTAACGACACCTATAAGTCTGCAGTCGCAGACACATCACGCAATGTTGTATGATAGCAACCCATCAGCTTTAATCAGGCGCCATGTTACATGTTCTAGTATATCTCACATACAACCGTTCACGATCCGGGCCCTATGATGTCTAGAAAACTTAAGAAGCAGTACAGCCAAGGGTATAATACATGGAAAAGAAACTAAACCAAAACGCTAATTCATAATCCTCATCGCCCCAAAGGCAATATTGACCACGACCCCAACAAAAACCGCCAACCCCTTCCTCCAACTCCACACCCCCTCTTCCCTCCTCAACCACATAGCACACCCAACCGGCCAAAAGAACCCCATCACCGCCCCCCAAAGCATATCATCCATCGCGCCCCTCGACCCAGCCCCAAAACCCCCATCATCATCCGCAAACGAGACCGCTCCATCCCCGCCCCCTCCCCCAGCCGCCATAGCCGCCGTCGACCCCTCATCCATCCACCGGTCCTCCAGCTCCCGCAACTCCGCTCCTGACGGCATCGTATCCGGAGTACGGGATACCGACTGTACCGCTAGAAATTGCGACCGAAGGCCTGCCACCTCCGCGGGTGTAAATCCAGCTGAGAGTAACCGATCGAAACCCCTTGGCGCGGGCGTTGTAGTACTAGCGTCGTCATCATTCTGTACATCTTTCTGTCGTTGTACTCTCGCGCTACCGTCATCATGATGAGTCTCTGATGATGATTGTTGTTCGTCGTGGAGCGTAGATGCGATCGACGCTTCCGTGGCAAGATCGGTCGCTGAGAGAACGATATCGCCGATGGAGCAGTGGATGTAGAGACGGGGGTGGTCGCGGACGGGAGCTTTGCCTTTGCGGTTGGGATCGGAGGCTGGATCTGAGGTGGTGTCGCTGGGTGGGGATGCGGATGGTCGCGGGGAGCGCGTGGGTGTGGGAGGGAGTTTGAGGGATACGGAGAGGGGGGTCTTGTCTTCGAGGCCACGGCCGGCGTGGATGAGGCGGAGACGGTGGGAGGAAAGATGAGGGGGGAGACGTGTGCGGATGAGTTGTTTTAGACCGGCGGAGGTGGTGGTTTCTGGGGAGAAGATGTCGAGGGGGAGGTCGGGAATAGAGGCGGAGAAGCGGATGGTCACGTAAAGGGGGTTGGAGGTGGAGGTCGTGGGTGGGAGGTCAAGGGGTGATGGGGATTTTAAAAAGGAGGATGATGCCATTGTCTATTTGTCGCGTGGGAAAGTATAAGGAAATGAGGTAGTCGTGTGTTCAGAATGAAGCCGGCGATGTCGGTACGTCACGGCTTGCTTGCGATAACCTCCGATAAGGCTGTTGCCTGAGGTCTTTGGGTGTTGTTCACGTGACTTATAGACTTGGGCATAGGGACATGTGATTGGCTGCCGTGAGGGCCCCTGTATCTGTTCATCGAGATTGTCCATCACTCCATGATCGGGATGCGTAGGTACATCGAGATGAAATAGACCAAGCAGATGATAAACTCATGTTCATCGCATGGCACTGCGGCAGCTTTGCGGGACAGTGCTCTCAGACTGCACAAGCATGGTTTGGGGAGAGGCAGTTAAAGAACAGCTACTGGAAGTCATGGCAAATGCGCTAACCAGCTATGATACAATAGCTCGTGCTCTGGACTTGATCATTCTACTATCGAAGTTAATCTAAGCATCAGGGCGCTTCCGTGGTTCTATATGGACTGCGTATTGAGCACCAAGCCTAGTGACTGAATCAGCATGGTGAAAACAGACTTGGAGACAAACATATCCCATCTCGCAATCGAATACCAAGACTAACTGGCACTATATCGGATGAAATACCCGAGGCCCTCTCTTAGAACAAGCCAGTATACAACAAGTAGGAGTTAGACTAGATGGATATTATCCGATCCGATAGGGATTGGCATCCTTCAAACCTAACCGACGGAGAGGGATGGATGATTATCATGGGGGGTCATTCAAACTAGCCTAAACCTCGCCACACGCATAACACATCGGGATATTCTGAGTGACAAAGAACAGATCCAGCTGGGACAGTGATATTGACCGAGTAATGTATTTAGATTTTATTATCACCAGAAATGAGCAATTCGGATAGATACCAAGACGCCATCATCCGCATACAAGTACCGGCCCCATAGTGCCTAACAACTTAAAGCAGGAAGAATCCAAGAGGATGTGAATTGGTTACTCTCAAAAAGTGCTGGTCATACTTGGACGCTGGAGGATACAGATCAGATTACTCCAACGCGGATGTTTGTTTAATGTGGCAGACGCTGCGGTGCTTGTAGTGATTGGCCTTCAGGCGGTCCCTGGCGGGTCGGAACGGGCGCCTATCCCCTACTCATGGGGAACAGCAGAAGTTGATCAAGTAGTTGATCCCCAACACTGACATTTTTAACGCTTGTAGAGCTTGCAGGTCATCCAACCTTAGATAGTCGTCGCAGGTCGTTCAGATATACAGCACCATACACCGATTACTTTCGAGTTTTGGGGTCATTTACATCTCTGCTCATTCTAGTTCATGGTAATCGCGCTCTCGCAAGTCATGCCCAAGAATTGGTGGACCTGTGTGTCATACTTGTATTTCAACCTCATTAGTGCGATGACATTTCAGAGAACAGAATCCGGTGCGGAAGAAGGACGAAGATAAGCAATTATACGCGACTTTCCCAAACGGGTAACTGAATTTAGAGAAAAAGCGACAGCCTCTGTGGGGTCTGATAAGGCCGAACCGGTCTCGTGATCGGGGTCTTCCCCTCATCCTCCTAGCTTATCATTATCCCTCTTCCTATCCAGACGGCAGAAGAGTCAAAATGTCCTGAGATACAGTCATCTAGGCTGACTACTCGCTTGCCTAAGGGTCTGCTCCTTGGTGTCTCGGGTGATCTTCACTATGCAAGCCGAGCCCCGCAAGTTGAAACGAACGGCGAACGCGTAAGGGACCTGCGAAGTTACTTAGAAACCTAACTGATCGATGTTGGCCCCGCTTATCCAGGTGTATTGCCTGTCGTCAGAGCAAAATTAAATGCTCTGGGGTCGAGCCATGCGCCAATTGTCAGAGACGCGCTATTCCTTGTCGGTTTGCGGAGGAAACCCGTAGGGTTCTGATATCGGAACGGTATTTCTCTAAGGATCGGATGGCTATGGATCATACGATGCTCATAATGCGGCAGGTGTCTCCGTGACTTGCAGACACAGGCCAAAGAGCAGCATGAGACAACGAAGAAACGAACTCACGATGTTGCATTTGAGGAAGTCGAAAGTATGTATATGACGCCGGCAAGTGCCGTTGTTTCCTCGCTGTAGACTTACTCTTTTAGATGTTCTCAATTCAGAATCGCGTTCTCCAGGTGCAAACTGGCCCAGTCCATTTGGTCTGCCCTCGATGACGATGAGGAATACCCACGATAACCGATTATCTCGATGGGGTAAGACCTGGCACTCTTTTTCTCCGATATGCTCGTGATTTATGCGCATGTGGCTGACCTTGATTAGTCTGGCTGGCTCCAACATCTACGTGGTCTTTTACCGCTCGTCTCACTTTGATGATGACCCAAAGACTCCATCCGGACGTAGCCTACGATATTCCCTATTTTCTTGATGGGGACATCTATCCCCTACAATGGAAGTCATCTTCTGATGCTACTCCTGACATCAGCGGTCTCCCGTCTATGGACTATGCTCTCTATCTCTTCAACACAGTCAAGTTTCATCTGGGTCAAACATTCCGGCTCCTGGACGAAGGGGCTTTCACGACGCATATGCAGGAATTCTACTACGGGGATGCAGCCAAGAAAGCAGCTGAAAGTCGGCTATGGTTCGTCCAATTCTTGCTAGTGCTGTCTTTTGGGAAAGCCTTCCTTGACCAGTCTAGAAAGAGAGACCCACCAGGCGCGGGGTACTTTGTTCGTGCCATGTCCTTGATGCCAGATTATAGTTCTATCTGGAGAGATACTCTTCTGGCAATCGAGGTCATGGCCCTAGCAGCTCTGTATCTTTACTCGATTGATCGACGAGAGTCAGGACACCTTTTTGTAAGAGATAATGCCGGGCTTCTAGAGATGCGCGAGTCACCAAAGTCTAACAAGAACTAGGCTAGTCAGGCCATCCGCATTGCGCAACTAGAAGGCCTACACACGGAGCTCCCGGAGGAAGAGCTAGGGGCAGCAGCTGTTGATCGCTGCCGTAATCTTTGGTGGACACTGTACATTATGGACCGCCATTTTTCGTCATCACTGGGAATACCGATGATTGTGCATGATAGCGATGTCACGGCACTGATTGATTCACCAACACAATCATGTCAGAGGAACGCCATGCTAAGCCTGAGAGTGAGGTTATCGCGGTTATTGTCCACAATCCTTGGCAGTAGGTTTTGAAATCACCAGTTCGAGAGGACATCGGCTCACGAAGATAGCCGTATACAGGACTGAGAGGCGGCCCATCGAATCATTCATTGAGAAAACCAAAACTATTTTAAATACTATGGCAGATCTAGCTAAGGAGTTGGAAGACTTTATCAATACCAAGTTCGCGGGCCCGGTTAACTCCATGTCAAAGGGGATGCGCCATATCCTCCTATTGTATCACGAGGTAGGTCGGCCTTCTAGCAAACAGAAATCTGAACTAATCTTTACTACTAGTGTGTCATCGTTGCCACACGACCCCTCCTCCTAGCCATTCTACGAGAGCGTCTGGACAAACTCGGCCTCCCTTTAGAATGCTGTCGACGGATCGTCCCTCTCATGGAAACACTGATGTCAACGGGGATCAACTCAGCGACCAAAAGCCTTCAGTTACTTAAAGCTCTAGTAGATGAAGGCCTCCTTGGTGAGCAAGGTTCCAAAAAGAGAAATTACCAGCTACTAACCGCACCGCAGAATCTTTCTTACCCTTCGACCTCGAATTTACCTACGGCGCCGCTATCCACCTCACAATGGCCGGTGCCCTTGTACCTGAATTAGTCGGACAGCGCAGCTCCAACCAACAAGCACATCTGATCCTCGATGAAATCATTAGCAAGGGGAACCGCGTAGCAGAAATTCGCAAAGCCGACCTGACTCGTCTTGAAACCTTGTTCGAGGGACTAAAAGAGCGGTATGCGCACGCGGCGAACCACATCAGTACCGATTTAGTTCCAGAGACAAGTGGTGATGCACATGGGCATAATCATAGATCAAGTGACGAGGCCCAATTACCATGCATTACTGGGGACATCAATGTTGTAGAGGATGAGCTGCCTGAGCTGGGATTAACGTCATACGATATCGCGGCTATCGTGGATCAGATTGATTATACTGCTAGCCCGTCATTCTGGCTAGCTCAGGAAAGGGAGGAGTTGTGATGCGTGGCAATGAGTTGCGTATATAAAGCTCCAAGCGTGAGTGGAGCTTATACCTGCATATAGGGCGCTGTTGATAGCGTTGTGAGGAGTAGCAAAGCATCATGCGCTGCAACTGAATATACAAGCTCCATATAGTTACCATACTACTTTCAATACATACCTACTAAAGAATGATAGCCATGCCTCCGAGCTACACCCGGAGGGATGGTACTACAGGAACAGAAATCAGCGCATCATATGATATCTACAAACCAGTGCAGTAAATCCAGCCACAAAATCTATCCTATATTCACACATGCATGCCCTATCATCGGATAGGCCACCCGATCTCCGTAACGAAGCCGACCCGACCCGAGAGGGGAACTATATCACGGCCCTCCAGATATGGGTCATCAACGCCTAACCAACTTCAGCTGGGATACAGACACTACTACTAGTATCATCATCATCATACCAAACCAAACCATCCATACTACTACGAAGTAGCAACAACCACCACCAAAATGACCCGCCTCCCCCTCCCCATCCCAGCCCCTATCCCCCAGTCCTACATCCCCAGATCCACCCTCCGCACCATCCCCTCCACCACCCCCATTGAATACATCCTCGCCATCCTCTCGCGCGACGGCGGCGTCATCATCTCCGACTTTATCCCCAAAGAAGACCTCACTTCTATCGACACCGAACTCACCCCATGGACAAGTGCCAATAAACCAGCCTCGACCTCAGCAACCAACGGCGCCTTCACCACCATCCCCTCCCAAACAACCCTCATCCCGGGCCTAGTAGGCAAATCCCCCACCATAGCACGGATCTGCACCGACCATCCCACCCTCGAGGCCCTGCGCACGCGCATCCTCGTCGACGAATGGTGCATCAACCGCGAAGAGAGCGTCGAGCCGAACCGCCTCGACCCGCTACTCAGCCTCAGCGTGGCGATGAATATCGGGTACGGGGCGCCTCGACAGCTTCTCCATCGGGACGATAATGTGCATCATGTGCGGCATGAGTATCGTGAGTGGGAGTGGGGGTGGGGTGAAGTAAGTCAGTTTGGGTGTTTGATTGCCGGGTGTGATGTTAGTAGGGAGATGGGGGCAACGATGTTTGTTAAGGGGAGTCATCGGTGGGGGGATGAGAGGTGGGCGGAGGTTGATCATGAGAAGGGGGAGGTGTGTTTTGCTGGTATGTCTATTACCCCCCTTCACTTTATCATCCTTCTCTTGTAGAGCTGTTATTGATTGGTCTTTGGTTCGATTTTGGCTAATTCTGATGTTGGTGGGTATGGCCAGAGATGAAAGCCGGCTCAGCACTGATATTCCTTGCCTCGGCGTACCATGGGGGAGGACATAACTCGCTCCCTGGGACGGTGAGGAATATGTACGGGTTGTTCTTCTGTAGGGGGCATTTGCGGACGGAGGAGAATCAGTTCTTGGCTATTCCGAGGAGTGTGGTGACCAAGATGAGTCCCAAGATGTTGGCGTTGTTGGGGTATAAGAAGCCGACGACGGCCTTGGGGATTGTGGATAATATTAGTCCCGATGAGGATATTGAGGGGGTTTGGGAGAGGGTGGTGCAGTGATGGTCTTTTTTGGAGGGGGTGGGTTTTGACTAGAATATAACAAGGATTGATCAATCAATGCGTTGTGTTGTGGTGTTGCTGTTTGGAGACAGATCAAGGTGTAGATGCATATCTACTAGGAAATGGAGATGGGTCAGCGTAAATAGTGCAGTTCAAGGGGGGTGTGAGGAATAGTATGGTCATAACGGAAGCTGGCAACAAATGTAGTACTGGTAGATGTTGACCATAATGCATTGACGCCGTCTGACATGATAAACATATGATATTCTGGGCATGGGTGGTACTGCCAGATGAGCACTGTTCATATACTATCGGATGAGGTGCAGAGAAAAGCCGGGGTATTGCAGGGATCGGACAAGCCATCCGACATCTAATTTAGAGCTCGGCTCTAATTAAAGTCCCGAGGGAGCCGAAACGCTATTGCTGCATGTAAGCTCCATAGTCCTAGCGCTTGATGACAGGTTTATTAGTATCCTACGAGGTTCATTGTGGGGATTATATGGTCATTAAGTTTGTCGTTGTATTTTATGATCATCCTACATACTGCTCATGCAAGCCCGGGGTGGTTTCACGTTGTATGAAACTGCTCCAAGAGCTGGAAACATCGGGATCAGCAAAGATGATGTTAGGTGATAGATATTGAATCACGGCTTGTGTCGCCAATCTTCAACATATGCTGTCTGCTTGGATGCTTCTGCTTCAGTGCATCAAATCATATGACAAAGTAAATATATTGCACAGTAGTGGGCTCTTTGCCCGGGAATCAATGATGTATGTCCAGCATTCAAGCAACAAAAGAAGGAATTATCCGAACCCGCCAAACCCGCCACCAGTAAACGCCGGCCAATGCACAAACGCGAGAAAACCCATGAATCCGCATAATTATGAACTCGAAATATAAAAAGGTCACAATTTCAGTTTCATAAATCAGACCATGAAGGATTCACCGCATCCACATTGTTCCTCTGCACAAGTATTACGTTAGCGACTGTTTCTGGGGTTTCCCGCGGACAAAGGGAAGCTTACTAATATTCGGGTTGCGGAAAACGAATCTCCTGCTCAGCTTGTCCTCCTGCCAGTCCATTTCGCTACCGATGATACTGAACAATGCCTTGCTGTCGATGAGAACTTTGACACCGTCCTGCTCCACCACTTCGTCGAAAGTGCCCGGCTTCTCCACATACTCCAGGTGGTACGCGAGACCGGAGCAGCCACGGTTCTTCACACCGACTCGAATCAGCTTGGGGTTCGGCTGTGAGAGGAGTTTGCGAAGCTGCTCAATTGCCACGGGAGTCAGCTTCATCGCGGCCTTCCTGGCACGCAGCTTGCGCCGAGGCTTCTCAGTGGGCTTGGCGGCGGTCTTCTCGGCGGGAGCAGGAGCAGGCACGGGCTTGGACTTCTGGGCCTCGCTTTCCCGGAGGCTTAGGTCGGACAGGCCTTGCTGGCCGGGCATCTGGGGCTGAGAAATTTCACGGAAAGAAGGGAAGTCGGCAGCGATGGAAGTGTCAGGGTTGCCCGTGTTCCGGGGCGGCGGGAAGGAGGTGGGCAGCGAGTGAGGACGGTAGGCAGTGGCAGTTTGCAATTCACGCTTCGAAGACCGGTGAGCATTGCCGTATGAGGAGAATAGACGGCAAGTCTGCGTCGAGCGTCTGGAGGAGGACTGTCTGAGCCAGGTGAGGATCGTGGCGGATGATGTCACCGGCGAGGGCATGGTAGCTTTGCAAAGCGACATGTTGGGAGAATGTGATGTGTTTGATGAAGAGGATGCTCTATACTGCAGTAGGAGTAACGAGGAGCTGAAAGGTCATGGATCTAATGGTTGTGTCGTCGCTGAACGAAAAGGAATATGATGGAAAAGTGGAAGATTGATGGAGAGTCGGAAGTTGAGTCTGTTTGGGAGGCGGAAAGACTGCCGGCGGTCGGTTAAAAGGTGCCAGGGCCAGGACCCGGCGGGCCAATCAGCGTTGAGGTGTTTCTACACAGCGACGGTGGCGCCACTGCTGTGGCCTCGAATGAACGCCTGATCGAGGCCGGGGTTGTTGGGGAACTGTCCGTTGCAATCTAGATGGCCCCTCTGTGACCCAGTGATCATGCAGCAGTCCCGTTTCCTTTCATTTCTTTGACTTTGTTCAATGCTGAGCTGGCCCTGCGATTGCTACTCCGCTTCTGTGATTGGCCGGACGTGCTCTTCACCGTCTTACTAACACGGCTGCCTGAGTAACCAGTCACCACAAAGAGTAACTAACTACCTTGGGCGTAAGCCATGACTAATGGGTTTCTGCTTTGTTCGACGGATTAGTTAGGGGACAAGAACAATAATGAAGGACCCGGGGAGCTGCAGGGGAGAGTCGCTGATCCTTGTCTATGTGTGACTATGGGAAAGTGATTAAGCGCATGATCTACTCTTACTCTTTGTATGGGCGCATTCTATATACTCGTTGACAGTCTATCGATACCAGGTCATGCATCAATTTATTGCCACTGATAATTGATTTAACTAGTTTCACATGCCCCTGATTATGTCATCCTATGGTCGGCACGAGCAGAGGCACGTGTTGTCATTCCTGGAAGGAAACACTGCAACTACAAGAAAGTTAAGGGGCAGAATGTTGGAATATCTCAAATAATGCTAGAAGAGAGCAGGAGGTCCCGACCCTCCCCTGCTTTCAAGCAATCCAAAGCGAAACCGTGGCGCCTTCATACATGGACCGTGGCTGGTGGGGGAGCAGGGGTGTTGCGTGGCTGGTGTGGGCTGGCCCGAATAGGCAGAAAAAGAGAAATGGAAGTGGTGCTCGAATAAGCTGGCGACTACGTTTCATGTCCACTTCATGTCCCTCCCTCATCGGATAGTTATCGAATCTCATATTGGCTCTTTGACTTCCCATCTGTGATGCTGGCAGCGGTCCCATGTTCTATGCTGACCGCCACTTATCTCACCTAACGCAATGGAATCCCCCTTAACCCAACAAAGTAGACCCGAAACCTTCAAGCCTAAGATCGTGCAACTATACGAGAATCTATTCCAAGTATGTCTCTGAGTCCCCGCTGCGTCTACACAGTGCACTCCATCTGACACAGTTTCTTAGACCACCGACTATGCAGAGCCATCGGAGGGATTTTGGCGAGAGTTTTTCTTGTTGCCTCCGGATCGTACTCGGCTCACTGCGGTCTTGAACCAGCTTAGTCCTGACGAGACCCTCAATTTACAGGTGCGTCATCAGTACACTTGGTCTATCATCAAAGTAGTCTTTGCTAACTCCGTATCAGATTCAAACACAGCAACTTTTTGCTCGCGCAATTCGCGAAGCTGCCTCCGCTTCCAGTCCGGTGGATTCCTATGCTCTAGAGGTATGTGCACTGGCCCGACAACCGTCATTCACTTTCTGACTATGATCTAGACCTTGACGATCTTCTTAGCATGTGTCCTGAAGAAAAAGTACACCAACCCCAGCTCGGATGTCATCACTGTTCTTGCGGGTCTCGATCATGTGGACCATGTGATTTCGAACTTTGTCACTGTCCTGGATGGCATCATCCGCAATGGCAGCAGCTGTATGTTTGCTCTAATAAACAGCATCACCCAAACATGTATTAACCAATGCCAGTTGATATCCGGCTCAAGGCCATAAAAGCCGCCATCGCCATGACTAGCGGGGCATACAAGACCAGTCTGGTCTCTTACTTTACACACCGGGACCTGTTTCCATCTCTCATGAAGGTTTGTCTCTTCACAAGTTTTCCATATCCAAGCTAAATCCAAGCTAACCTTTTAAACAAGTTCGTCCAAGAAACAGAGACCCCAATGCAAATGTTCGAGCCATTCGTGCTTCTGGGTTTGCTGGCAAACTACAACAAGTTCGAATTCCAAAACCCCTACCAGCTGCGACTCGATGACTTTGTCAACGAGGCCAGTATCCAGAAGATTGCCAAGGGGGTCGGTCTCTCCTGTGGCGCTCTGCGAAACGGCTATGTTGCAGTGCAAGACGACTCTCCGGAGGGCTGGTCTCTCATTAGTACCTTGATGTATTTCGGATTGGGTGTACTTGCCCCGGGCAAAAAAGACAAAGCCGGCACACCAACGGCGGAAGAGGCCAAAGATCTGTTCGCAGCACTGTAAGTCTGTCCTAGCTTTCACAGCTGCCAAATCCCCCCTAACAGTATCAGACCGGCCCAACAAGCAGCCATCCTCCTCGCCACCTACGACTTCATCAACGCCAACAAGCTCTTCGGCTACCATCTCATCAGTGCGGCTACAGAAAAGGACAACGAGGAGACGCCATTCGCCTCCTTCCTCTCCCTAACCTCATACCTCCTACAGCATGCCTACCGGTCCCCAAGAGTCGCCCACTACGCCGAGCTGAACCTTCTCACCCTGCGCATCCTCTCGGAAGACAGCACGCTATGCAAGCAACTCTGCAGCGAAGAAAGCAAGCGCAGAGTGCGCCTCTGCCGTCAAAGGCAACCATACCTACCCCTCGTCAACGGAGATCGAGTCTTAGTAACTGCCATCTTTGACATCCTCATCGACACCCTAACCCACAACCTCCGACGCCGACTCGACGTCAACCTTTACAGGTAGCCCTCTCCCTTCTGCCCCTCTTGAACCAGAAAAGAAAACTAACCGATAAAAGCCACTGCATATCCATCTTCCTCCGCCTCCTGACCTACCTCTCCATGAACAAAATCCGACTCACCTACCACTGGTCCGAACTCTGGCGTACCCTTCTCTCCCTCACGCGCTTCCTAACCACCTACGCCCCGGACCTAACCAGCAACCCACACATTACAACCCTTACCACCACCCTCATCAACCTAATTGCCTTCTGCGTCTCCTCCGGCGACACCTTCCTCCCGGACCCCCTCTCCTACGATGACCTTTTCTACAAGCTCGTCGAAACCGGCCCCATCATCACGCGTTTCCGCGACGTCTACAACTTCAAGACATCCGCATCTGCAGGTGCTGGTGCAGATAGTAACAAAGAAGTCCACGTAGCTGCCATCGACACGCTGATTTCCGTCTCTACGCACTTCTATACGTTGTTGTTCGTGGATCCGGATCAGAATGCCGAGGCGGCGGGGAAGAGTGGCGAGGCGGCGCCTGTGCCGGCGAACTTGAAGAAGAATTTGAGTCCCAGGGAGGTGCACCGGATTATCAAGCAAGGGTATGAGACGTTGAGTATTCAGCCGCCGGAGGGGTTGGGGGCGTGGACGAGGTATCGTGAGGCGGATTGGAAGACGGAGTTGAAGAGGGCGGCGAGGTGTGCGGTTGATGATGCGAGGGGTTTGGTTGTCTAGGTTGCTTGTTGTTAAGTTGCTGCTGTTGTTTCTTTTTGTTTGCGATCGTTTGGCCGTGTTTTGTGTCAGCTCTTTGGGGTAGCGGATTAGATACTAGGTGATGGTAAAATCCAGTTTTTGTTACTTGGTTCTCAGCTTTGTTATACCTCTGATGGCCCGTTTGATCAGTGCTTCCTGCGTTGAATCTTGGAAAAGTGATTGAAATTTCAGTTCCGCTAGCTGAGTGAGTCCAATTCTATCCTAATGGTACAGGAAAAGTATCATCGCCGTAACATACATAAAAGCAGCCTCAGTCTTTGCTAACCATTTGTCGCAGCCCAAGTCAGTCGAACGCAATCGAATTAAGATAGGAAAATAGATATGCTTGGAATAAAGGGGAAAGAAAAAGCACACATAAGAAAAATCAATGGTAAACGCCTAGACTAAACGCGATGTCGCGGTCCCAGGAGTCGGGTTTGGAACGCCGCGCGACTTTTCAATGTATTCATTGCTCGCAGTCATGTATCTCGTAGCGAAGTATCTGCTAGAGTTTTTGCTCAGCCAGATGGTGAACTTGGACAGTTCTTCCCGGAGTCTATTCGTCGACTGGAGGTCCATATTTGTCTGTGCAATCAGCTCGGGCATGGTTGCTATGAAGTATCCGTTAGCGATGTGTGTAGTAGTTTGAAACAAAGAAACCTACCGAAAAGACGAGTCAGATGCTCTGCACCGTAGATGTCAAGTGGTCCCTTGTCGGCGTAGTCACCCGAACCTGCCTCCCACTTTTTGCGGAGAGCCCGGTACTGTTCGCGTTCAAACCGGTATAAGAGGACCTTGTCAAGTGCTTTGTCGAAGTATTCGCGTACACCCATAACGACTTCTTCAAGGACATCTGTATCAGCTGAGCTTGTGCGTTTGGGCTTCTCCTCATTGACGTAGTCGTCCAGAATCTGATTGACCGGGGACTTGGCAGGCAAGGCCACGACTTGCTGGTTCTTAGTGACGTTTTCCCAATCGTCCACTAGGAGAGACTTCAAATTGTCTGGCATTACGATCCTGACTGAAGGCCGCACATAAAAGCTCTCCTCCTGTGATGACACGGTTAGTATGTGTGATCAACAGTCCTGCCCCTTGTGCGCACCGTCACTGGCGCTGTGACAGGCTACAGGGAATATTGAAAGCAAAAATGCAGCAGACTTACCTTTTCGATATCGTTGTCACGGGCCCTCTTGGTTCCGCGGCCAGGCACTGAGGTTTGCCTTTCCTCGCTGCCTCGGGCGGAACTGCGGTCGGAGCCTCCCCTCTTCTTGACAGAGGCTTTGGTGCTCTTCTGACGGAATGCAGCCTCTGCCTCACGACGAAGAGTGGTGGCTAATTCTCTATTCTCCTCCGTAAATTTACGAAGGCGGTCTTGGGGAACCCAGTCATCCCAGCTTAAAAGACAAAGCAAGCGTCAGCAAATGTGGCTCAGACAAGGACACCTCTCCGTTCCGGTGTGATGGTGGCTTCACCGGCAGAAGGAGAGGATGCGCGAACCACATCCTTCTGCCAGTTAAAGTAGAATTACAATCCCATCCCAAGTCATAAGGTAGAGAATTGTGGTGGGATGAGGGGAGGGTTGCACTAGGTTAGACGTACGTGTTCTTCCAGCCCTTGTAGTGGACTAAGTACTCGTAGGGACTCTTACGGTCCTCTGGGTCCGTATGCCTCAGGTCAAGGATCTTGGCCTCGTACAGAATCTCATGGTGGAAACAGAGAACCCTTTCATCCTTTTGGTAGGTCATTTGGCTTGTTGGAGCCATTTTGAGATGAAGTGGTGCGTAGACAGATCAAGGGGTGTCTGCTGTCACTGAGGGGTAGGATGCTGTTAAAGCAAATCAAATCACCAGTCACAGGTTTCACCAGTCTGGGGGCGAGAAGAATCAAGCAAAGACACAGAGTAGCCTGGTGAGACAGGTATTTAAAGTCCCGTCAAGTCAAATTTGCCTCTGCGAAGCACGTGCACTGAGGTGATCAGGAACTGAAGCAGGCGAATAAAATAGCAAATATGCGCACACAAGCAGACAAGTGATGTGGCAGATGTAAGCCTTCACTAGGCCTTGCAGATAGCCAGCTTATAATGATTCTGGCTGGTTTGAAAGATATTTGATTGGCTCCAATCAGTGTCAGAAACTCCAATATAGGACAGGAGCCGGCAGTCTCACAGTGAATGGCTGATTATTCCCTGATTTGTTTCGGGAATATGGCCTGAACAAGACAGAACACTCCAATCCAATGCCAAATAGAAGGGAGAACGGGGTTGCAGAAGTGGTGAGGGTTCAAAGCATGTCGCGGTTGGGACAAGAAGAGGAAGCGGAACAACTGGATGAGGAACGCGTCCAAAAGGGCAAGTCACGAACTTTCCCGGCTAGTTTTAATTGCTTTGCCCGCCGCCATCTCATCCTCCTGTTTCTCTCTTCTATCAACACCAGCAACTCATCATCAATTAATCTCGCTTACACCCCGGCTACGGTCGTTCACTTCAGTAAGCTGAGGGCTGTTATTTCATCATTATTCAAATCCAGCCACCGTGGTGTTCTGGTAACTTGATCGGCGCAAAAGACGCGATACACTCCGATTGAGAGTAACACAGCAGCGACAAGGCAATATCGCCTCAAAAGGTGTACTGAAGAAAGCCTTCAAAGGGCATTCCAGCTACATTGAGTGTTAGCCTTATTTTGCTCGTTTGTTGACTTCGCCACTTTACTATTCAATCACTATGGCGCCTACGGAATCTTCAATTCTGGGCAATTTTCTGCTCTCACCGGCTCCTTTGCCGACAATCATGTCGTTACAGCAGTTTACGGAGCTCTTTCCAAAGCGTTTGCGGTCTCACCCGCACATTAGAGCGCTCTACCGCGAACTGCAAGAGCTCCGGGAAAATGACATGGACCTTGTCAACGGTAACATTGACAAGGAGGTTCGCCACGGGGAAACCCAAAAGGCAGAGCTCCGGAAGTCCGTCGCCAAGACAGGTGTTGACGGACTCAGCTCTAGCGATCAGCGTGAGATGGATATGGATGTCCAGTTGTTCGGACAAACATCGTCTTCCGACTATCATTCACCTTCCAGTCTCCTGGATGCCATGGAGCAGGCCATATCAGACATTGACCGCCAGGTTTCTGAGACTGATGAGGAAGCAACAGCGATATTGGCTATGCTCAACAACACGGTCGGAGAAATGAGCGACTTGCGCTACGGCAAAATGCAGGGCCCCGCCGGCACAAGCGGCGAAGAAATGGTGAATGAAGCCATCCGAGGCTTGGGTCATCTGGAAAATGCGTGCTACCGTAAAAGCTGAGCTCTATATGGCAGACGCATTACGTTTATCGAGGTTTATTTTCTCACCCCTCCACCTGCCTACTTGTCAGGCACGAATAACATAACCTGCCTGCCTGCTCGAGTTGCATTGACCAGATGCCGCAAACCAACACTACAGCGCGGGTCTATACATTGTGTGAGACCAATGTACTCTCGGCAGGGCCTCAGCATCCTTGCGAACTAGACCCCCTAGGGTATTGGCAACCATTGACCGTTCATTTGGAGCCTGACCAACCGAAACCACATGTTTGTGGGGGTGAAGATCTGGACAGGACAACACTTAGCTTCGAAGGGCAGAACAAGCCAACCCAGGATGGCTTCCCTCATTACAGTATTTGAACAGGACGAAAGTTCTATTGGTGATTATGAAAGACTACGGTATTACGCTGCTGCCCATTGACTTGGATGAAAATCGAAGACTCTGATGCAGGACGATACCCAATTTAGATATCAAATTGACGATCTGTCACTTCTGTTTCCCAGCTTCAGAGGACATAACATCTGTAGAATGTAGCTTGAAGACTACCTTGGCGTCTTTCAGATTGACTCTATAAGCCATTTGCAACTTCGAGAGCCGCCTTTGTGACACTACATCCCAAAAAGGAAATACCGATAAGATACGGGATTGGCGTGACGCGCTAATCTTAATCTCTCTTTTCGCGACCTCCAATTCCAAGACCAATTGCCACGCCCTCGATTTCCTACTTCATACACTTTCCTTACATCAAAAGCACGAGCCCTGATAACACTCTATTTAAGAGTGCATTCTTGACGACCAATATTTCAAAATGCCATCAATACCCCTCTACCCTCGCGCGTCTAATCCCTCCGCAGGCGTCAACAATCCCCTCCCTCAGCTTCTGCAAACACCCTCCGGTCTCGCGCTTCTTGAGCTCCAAGGCACCATCAACCTTCCACCGCAAGACAACGTTGAAAACAATGAGTCGTCAAGGTCATCACCCGATGGCCCCAGCAATCCCAATGCTGCCCCCGTATTCGAAACCCCAATCGGCAAACTCATGTTCCCCGACTATTCTCCGCAGGTCACGGCACCAGACGACACAAAATGGATGAAGAGGGTCTATCTATATGTTGGACGGTATCAGCGAATGACAGGGGAGGTCAAAAAGCTACCACAGCCACTTGCAGTGGTGCAGCGGAGGCAGAAGGAACCGGGTGCGACGGCTGACGACAAAGAAGAGTTGGAGATTGTCGAGATCGTGAAGTACAAGATCTACTTTAAGAGTAGGCCGGAGCCTGTCAATGATATCTGAAGGAAGGTTCTACGGAGCGGAGCCAGATGAATTGGCAGTTTGGAGGTCTCGCATTGCGCAGGCTGGCTATGGACGCTTTGAACACAGCGTATGGAGACAGATCATTCTCGTCAGTTGGAACTCGGGATTCTGTTCTAATTCGATCATGGATATAATCCATGATTCTGTCGAGCGTTTAGCGCCGAACTGACAATTCCGAGTCATATACTTATCGATCGCTGGACTTTATGCCCAGTTGTTTTGGTGGCGGAAATCGAGTCGGTCTCGCATACAAGTCGATGAGGGTGTCGAGCAGAACATTCCGGCTACCGCTGATTTCCGTCATCATCCATATATCTCTATTTGCGTTGATGGAATCTGATCTCCAATCGGATGCGCGGTTCTCCTGAGGAAAGGGTTTGCATGAATCCTCGCACGCCTGTTCTTGACGTGTTCAGCTATATCACTCGATGTGCTGGGAATGTCTGGCAGAAGGCCAGCTAATGCCTCTGGCATCCTCGGGGTATGATACATTCGCCTACCGGGTCTTGATACTGGTTCTGAGGCAGTGTCTTTTGCGGTCTCTTTCTGTCCATTCTGCAGGATCCTTCCACACAAGGATGGAGATCACGATTCTGATGAACTAGTCACTCCTTCTAAACGGTGCGGGTACCCGGGCCCACGATGTTATCTCAGCCGTCACCCGACGGCGTGCACCTAGCATGGCCTTCCTGCACGCAGCGAACGCTTGCTGCAACAATTTGCGGCGACAGCTTTCTAATGACGGGCATGAGCTGTATAAAATAGAGTCCGATGCAGAAGCTCAATATTACGGCAACTTGGACGACAAGGGACATGAGCAACAGGTAGTGAATTCACCCCAAGCTATTTAATTCTATGTAATTCACACAACAACTATGTGTGCAACGAACCAAATAGCAATATTTTAGAGCATCTGATCACAAACAATCACTCCAGCTAAATTGATCGTCCACAAGTCTAAAGTAGGAGAAGTGGTGGCTAGTCTGGGGATATTCCGCCATCCCACAGACCCGAGAAAAGACATACCCGGGCGGAATTGGCGCGAGGAAAAGATTCCGCCACCCCATTCATTCCGTCTCTCGTATGCAAAACATCCTGCATGCACGCCTCCTGTCAGTTACACTGCAGTTGAACATTCATGCAGTTCCTCATGTAGAGAATACTCAATCAATTCAATCAACACTTTACAGCATTCAATGCCCCTGAACAAACCCATGTAGAACTCGCACAAAGCCGAACCTCGTAGATAACTTAGATCCGAGGGAACTAACCCATCCGAACATCCGTCGGAAGCCGACACGAAGATCCATACACGCACGCCCATCAATCCAATTCCCTTGTTTTCCAGCAATACCAACCAGTCCCTATTCTCTACGAATCTACTACTGAGAGAGGCCACAGCGCGTAATACTAGTATTACCCATATTACCCCGCAATACCCCCCATCATCGGATATATCCATCCCATCAACCAGTATAAATACCCCTCCCTCCCTCTCCCTCCCACACCAGCCAAACCAAACCTTCCTCATATCATTCAACATTTATTGATATTAATCAAATAATTTCAGTGCTCCTCCGAAGAACCTTCGCCACCTTCTCCCGCAAAATGGCTCCCATCGAACGCATCACCCTCTTCAAGATCCCCAATGACGCGGACCGCGATCGCGTCCTAGAGCAGTATAAGGTTTTGGCTAAGACGGCTGTTAAGGTATACCTTATCCCTTTTTCTTTTACTTTGTTCTTATTTATATAAATACTACGTGCATCTGCTAACGAGTAATGGCTGCTATACAGGACGGAAAGCCCTACATTCTCAGCTCCGCCGCGGGAGCCTCCATCCCCGATGAGCGCAACCAGGGCTGGAATCTGTCTGTGAAGACGACGTTCGCGTCCCTGGAGGATATGGTCTACTATGATGAGCAGTGTGAGGCGCATAAGGCGTTGAAGGCGGTCGTTGGGCCCGTTAGGACGGATAAGTTGACGACGTTTTTCGAAAGTGTGTTGTAAATATTTCTCTTTCATTTTCAATTCATGAGATATTATGTTTGTTATAGATGGAGAGTTAATACTGTTCTGTGATGGTTTTTTTCATTTGTGGTATACATCTATTGGTTCATGCTACTACTTCACATTTAAGTCTGTTCGGCACATAAAACAATAATATCATCATGTCACAAGGGGGAAAGGGACCAGTTCGGTATGTGTCATGAGTGCCATGTTGGTGTTGCTGCTGCCGATAACATAAGAGAGAACAACATTGATACAATTAACAAAGATAGTCATTCGCCCATGGTTGCCTTGAACTTGAACATGTAATTACCCAACAAGGCTTTCTCCCACTCGTGCCAACCGCTTAAATGTACAGATACTAACAGAGATGCAGTTAATCATGGCTGGGAACTGGGCGAAGAAAAGCAAAGCAGCGAAGCCAGGCAACACCCGCTAAAGTCAGGTTAGAATATATCTACATCCCACGGCTCAGTTGAGAGCCTTGCGAAGATCGCTCCATTTCTGTTTCAGGTTTTCGTGTTCGTCGTGAATCTGGTGCAATTTAGTTAGATGCCAATCACTCAATCGCGTATCAATGGCGACTTACCTCAGCCCATTTCATCTTAGCCTCGACCAGCTCCTTCTCCATCTCAGCCATCTGTTCGACCATCGACCGGTTCTCGTTCTGGACTTCCATATTGCGCTTCATGATGCGGTCCATCTCAGTCCGCAGCTTCTCCTCGACTTCGGCCGGTTGTTTATCCACAACGTTCTTCAGCTCGGTGACCTGCATCTTCATCGCATCGTTCATGTCCGTCAATTCTTCATTCTCCACCTTGAGATGCACCAGTTCGGACGCGAGCTGCACGTGCTCCTTGTCCGATGCTTCGGCCTGCTCCTCCAGTAGACGGATCCGTGCACTCTGAGTTGCAACGGTGTGCCGAAGGTTGTCTAGCTCCTGCTCACGCTCCTTCTCGGTCCGTACCATCTCCTCCCATTCCGCCGTGTACGCGCGGATCGTCTCAGGCTCGAGAGGGATGGCGCAAGCGTCCTGGACCATGATGTCGGCGCGGTAGACTTCCTTGTCCGCAGCCCCAGAGCTTCCAAAGAAACCAGACTCCAAGATAGATGACGCCGAGGGCTGCTTATCAATGTAAACGTCGAAGAGGCGTTCCTTCAAAAAGGTTGTTAACGGTGCCATGTCTTTCATGCCCAACAGCGTGTCTGCATTCCGGCGCATGATAGCCAGGGCAAACTTCAAGATGGTATTCTCAAGGCCTTCTTCGAAAATGAGATCGTAGACGCGAAGAACCAGCTGGAGAGGGAATCGGTAGGCGAAAAGGGTCAGGAACCATTGTGTGGCATACAACTGAGGGGGTACGCCCCGCCGCCGGAGGTGACAATAGAGAGCCGGCTCCACATCCTCCAGCAGGCGTTCGAACAGATATAAGCTGCGGTGGAGACCTGGCATGTCATGGATGAACAGCTCCCGCAGTCCGTATTGATTCATGAGCTTCACAAGGAGCGTGAATGCTTCAGCCTCGTCCATCTAGTGAGAAATTAGCATCAGCAATCATGTTCTTCATGTTGTAGTAGACAGGTAGCGGCTGCTCACGTTGAATAGCAATGGCATCACAATGAAGTTCATTCCCTGGGCATATCCCACGGCCTCATCGTACAAGGCGTATGCCTTACAGAGCCCAAACAATCCCTCCTGGTTTCCTTGCGACACGAAGTAGCGTGAGTAGCTCGTGCGAGCACCAAGGTCACGACGAATAGTCTTCTCTAGCTTCAAAAGCGCGGCCGATTCCTCTTTGGCCTTCTTTTTTCGAGCCGTTTCGTTTGCGGCCTGCTCTTTGGATAGCTTCTCGGCATCCAATTCCTGGGAAGGACTTGAGCCATTGACCGAGTGGGCCACCGACGCAGAACGCTCCGATCGGACGGACGAGCGGGATGAAGAAGCGGTTGAGTCCTTCTCTCCGTTGATGGTACCATTGGGGCTGCTCTGCTTCTCCTTGTCTGTGCCACGGGCAACGAGCTCCCGGTATACTTCTTCAAGCTCTGGATTTCTGCTGTCGGCCAGAACCTGCCAAATCACTCCACGAATAGTTTGTGGAATTCCCCGTTTGATAGCAGCATTCAGTTCATCCGAATTTGCCCCCTTCAACGCTTGCGCACCATTGTTGACCAGTTGCTGCCAGAGCTCCCAGTCTACCGGCGCAGACGCGTCGGTCGCGGAGGTCGAAAAACCCGCAACAGTTCCGGGGGCAAGCTTAGGGTTGACCGTTGATGCTCCATTAGGCGGCGACGTCGCCCGAGGGGCGGCCGCAATGCCATTCTCCCCTTCTTCCGGTATGCTGGGCGGAGGACTTCCGGCAGTAAAACTTGCACGTCCCGACGCAACGCTGGCCTCGTCATTCTCGGACACGAGTCCTTCCTCTCGCAACCTGAGCTGTTTAAACTGGTCCTTGAGGCTGCTGCGCCTCGGCTTTCTATGGCCTAGACCATCCACATCCTCCCCATCATGGTGACGACCCATTTCCGGATTGCTCGCGATAGTTGATATGGATGCAGCCGTATTCCGACGTGGTTGTGCCGGAGGCGACTTGGCGTCCTTTCCGCCCGACGAACTTCGAGAAAGCCATGCAAAGGGGCTGGTAAACGATCGAGTTGGCGGAGGGGGTGGTGCAACAGGAGCTTGGTTCTTCGCGGCAGAAGCATTGGATGATCCCTGCAGGCGCGAACTGTGGGACGATGTGGAATCTCTAGATGATAACGGAGGAGGGGTACCGGAGTTGAGCTCCTGGCTCAACGGCTGGTTTTCAGTCGATTCATCGTCTTTGTTGCTACCGGCAAGGTTCACGTCGTCGAGAGACGTTGTTGATAGCCTGTGCGCAGTCAAGAGAGGAGATTTTTGCGGTTTCTGTTTGCGAAGAGTATCCTCCCCTTCTGATTGTTTCCCCACGCTAGCATCATCTGTATCCTCGGCCGTTTCATGGTCTTCGTGAGAAGTCGTTGGTAGCAGGGGAGCTTCCGTCAATTGAGGCGTAGCAACATTCGATCCGCTCGGGGGGCTGTCTGTCAAAGACCGTGTGGAGGAGCTTTGGGGAATGGAAACGTTCAGATTGCCGTGTAAGTTCGGGGCTTCGGGCGCATCGTCAAAGGAATCCTGGTGCGAATAAGATTATGAGTCTTTCTTCGTGATCGCCAGGTTTTGGTGAGAATAGCTTACACCCTCGTACTCTGCGCTGTTCCTAGAAGACATATTGGAACCCGACCACCTGGGAGGGTGTCCACTAGGTGAAACCAGCAGGTTTCTTCAATCCAATTTCGATCAACACGAGCGAGGCGGCAGATACGAAGTTCAATGTGTTTGATGAAGTCCAAACAGCGATTATTCCATGATAAGGACAGAGGATGACGAAGAAAACTGGGTGTGTTGAGCGGAAGCCACAGGCTGTAGCCGAATTGTAAATTGAGAGGGAAGGGGGAGAGGTTGGATAAGATGGGATGATGGGATGGATGGAATGGACCCAGAACCAGCGGGTGGAATTCCGGACTTGTACCACGGGACTAGCAGGGGGAAAGATGCCCGCAATGGATCCAGGAGGGATGGAGAGTGGACAATGAAGATTCCCTCCTTCTTTTGCTCCCGTCGGCAGAACAAGAAGGTCAAGCAGAGAAGAACAATGTCAATTCACCGTTGCTGAGGAAGAATGAAAGTAAGTAAAGTAGTCAACGGGAGATCCCCTGGCAAAGAAGATGGGGCTTGGCGAGACTCTCTGGACCCCGTGATTCGGATGCTGCCTTCCCCCTTAAACTACAACTAATGATACTAAATAAACATCCCACTGGCAGGCGCTTCTTAAGTCAACCACTAGTCTGACTACATACGACTTAGTCCCTTAGCCAGCCGGCAATAAGGACGTATCAAGCAAGCAGTGTTGGTGCTAGTGCTGGGGGGAAGGGGGAAAGGAGAGAGAGAGGAGAGGCTGTTCCTTATGCAAAGAAAACATCTCCACAGCCATGCTCGGTTAGGAGAGAGTAAAGGCGGGCTGGTTGGCGGTTCGACAGGGTACTTAGACTACACTACCTACACTACGTCTGTACTCACAATAATTCTGTGGTCGGGATTTATCGACAGGCGATGCGCGGGTTCCTGCCAGGTGAACCACTAAATGCCTCCGGGGCTGCATTATTGCGATTCTCCCGCCCGCGGAGGCCAGCATTCCCGTGGACACTTGTTATTCTGAAACTCACCAACAAAAATCCATCGCGGTGGTTGGTCCCACTATGGAGCAAGTGCTGCAGCTGCTGCCCATCATCTTCCTGTCCGTCCCATGTCCACCACCGATCATCGCACAAGAGGGGGGAGAAAAAAGCAAGGAAAAGTAAGTTGAAGATCGGAAAATCTTCCATTAAACAAAGCAAAAAATCATTCCCCCCGCAGATGGCGTCTATAGATTACTATACATATCGCATCGGTAAGGGGTGGTGACTGGCTCAGCGGCTGAGGGAGTGTTCCAAATCCAGCCACCGTTGGAGTCGCAGCGGGTCCAGCTTCTTCAATTCCGACAGCCAATGCTGGACCTTCTTTTCCGTCTCTCCACTGGGCGCATTTCCCTCCACCTTCCAGGCCAACATCGTACAATCGATCAATGCTTGGTAAATATACTTGCAATCCTCAGCTCCATCCAACATCTCTTGAATCTCGTCGATTTCCTGTCGCAGATAATCGAGGCGTTCGGCATCACTCAAGTGCGGTGCCAGCGTCTGGTCCGCCACGGATGGATCAAAGACGCACATTAGGTTTTGATGATAGAACCATAATGACTGGTCATACGGGTCACACAGGGCACGATGGATCAAGTCCAATTCTTCCAGTATGATATGTCAACACACATACTCGTACGCTGTCTCCAGGCCACGCAGATGACAAAGGGGATGACGTACCATTGTCAAGCATCGCTTTTCGCTCCGCGTCGCTAGCGGATTTCTCGTTCAACATGCGCTGAATGAGTTTCGTGCGATAATGCCAGGCCGAGAAGTTGGAGAGGTTAGCGCCAATCATCTTCTTTGCATATTCGTACTCTGTCTGCGTCATCTGTTGCCCTTCCTGCTTCTCCGATTTGAGCTCTCGCAGCGTCTCTACGACAAAGCGTCTGTAACCCCAGCCGTGGAAGTTTCTGCTGTCTAGGGTAAGCATCTTCCCTACCAGTCCCAGTTCCTCCTGCCAGAATTTTTGCGCAGCAGGTACTGGAAGCAGACGCTTGGCTTCATCCAACAGCCAAGTACGGTAGTTCCATATCCAGTAGCATTTGGGAAAGCTACGCAGGAGGGGAACCGTGAATAGTAGGTCATTCTTGATTAGTGTCGCAATCTGCTCAGCAGCTGCTTCGTTTGAGCCAGCTGAAGCTGCTCGTGAGAATTCATTGCGCAACACCTGGCGCCGATAATTCCAAACGGTATAGTACTCCGGGTTGCTGGTCAGTAGTTCGGCTATTTTCTCTAGAGTCTCTGGCGTATATTGTTGTTCCGCGATCTAGTTAATCACCATCAGCTAGCGCTGGCGATAGCTTGATTCTTGCATGTGGTCTACCTTCTCGCGGACCGATTGATCAAGCTGGCGATATTTCTCGATTTTCTGAAGTTCTTTCTGCCGACCTTCTTCGGTCTGCTCGCCTTGGAGCGAGTAGCGGGGAATCCCATGCTGCCCGGCGGTTAGCGAAGGGTGTGTGTGGTGCCTAAGGGAAAGGTGTCATTACGGCTGCCATGCCGAAAAATGCTTCTTCTCTAAGATTGCGCGCGTAACGAGGAGGACAGTGGACAATGTACAGTGGGCGGAACTGGCAAAGTCAGGAGAGGAGGCCGCACTTTATCGATAAGAATACTTGAAGGAGTCGATGCGGTTGCCTGAATGGGGAAGCCGCTGCCACCTTCCCGATCCAGAGCCAGTCACGTGCCCTGTATACTTCTCCAAGTCTTCTCGAGGTTGTCCATCACACATTCCCATGTTATCTGTTTTCTAGTGATCCATCTGTCATGCAATTGGCTATCGCTATACTTGTACAGCATGGCAGCCCTTCGATAAAGTCTCCTCATTCATTCATTCTTTCTTTCCACAACACACCCACATTTATCCTGGCATACATTAAGGACATTTGAGCAACGAGATACCGATTTGTGACTGGGTCCGGAGTGCCAGTAAAGCAATGAATCACTCTACGACCCACTCAAGGAGAAGCTCTATCTTAGCAGGTGAGAAGGATGCTTTTCCAGAGCCTCGACCCTTCGATTCAACGGGTCGGAAACGCAACGCTGTGGCATCCACATATCTTAATGCTCACACTCCACCGCAACTAGCGCCAATCACTCATTCTAAACTTAACTTAAACACTCCTTCAGCAGGGAAGTCAAAGGGCAAGGGCAAGTCTATTGAAGAACGCTCCCAGTCTCCGCGCAGGGTAGCTAGAAGTTTTGAATCTCGCAGTGATGTAACTCACACTTCGACGAAGAAACACCAGAGCCTCAAGTCCCCAGGGCCAGTCAGAAAAAGCCACAATAGGATCAGGAAGACTATCGCTCTTGAAACGCTTGGTATTGACCGGAAAGGTCCCGTACTGCCGGATAGGTTCATTCCCAGACGAGAGAATAACATTACCCCGTCGACACCCTTCCGGGTAGGGAAGTGTACCCGAGAACTTTCTCCGGAGGAGAGGCTTCTACGACAACGTTTACCAAAAGAGGATCCTTTCCTGCCAACGCGTTCTGGAAGATCTATTAGCGCACCAAGAATACCATCTGATCGTATATGCAGTACTCATTATGGCCCTCATCTCGTCATCGACCCGGCCGTTCCGAGTAGCGATTTCGCCCATGGTTCAAGGGACTTTTCCCGACAAGTCAGCAATGGGGCTGTTTGGAACGTGGGAGGAACATCAGCTGCACTAGGTCGACGGTCCATGGCGACTCCTAATGGTTCGGGTGGGCAGTTTGCCAGTGGAACGACTGCCCCGATGTTTGCTGCCAAATTCCTGCCCCATGTTGCGTCGACAGAGGAGCGTGAGAAACATAAGTCCAGAGTGGCTCTTGCCTTGGATATTGACCCAGCAAGGAGGCTTCTTAAAACCTGCAAGCTTTGGCATTTGCTTGAGTCTTTACCAAGCCCGTCATCACCAGACTTCGAGAAATATTCTCCGTTTGTTTGGAAAGATAATGCTTGGAGACGGGCAGAGAAATACCAGTGTAAGTGGCTCCTTTGGGGTTATAGAATATGACTGTGGGCAACAGCGATTGTGGTACTTTGTTGTGAAAGATGTGGAGAGATCCTTTGTTTTTCAACCCAGAAGATCTATGATACCATATCTTTGCCACATATTCCATCATCTAATCAGTAAGGCTACCGACTAGCGGCACTAACCCTTCATGCCTCTACCGTGAACTTGGCTTACAGCATATGTCAACTAACTGTTGGATTTGACTTATAGGGATGGTTGTACCAAAGGAGGGTGAGAGGGTGGTCCCGAACCGCCCTTTTCGCATCCTGGATGCTCCCCTCCTCCGAGACGATTTCTATTGTTCGACATTAGCATACTCATCCACGTCCGGCATACTTGCTGTCGGCCTTGGCCATCGAGTCTATCTATGGTCTGAGCATCTGGGTGTGCAGCATCCGCCACTCAGTGACCAACACCCCTCAAACTACGTGACATCACTTGCGTTCTCCTCGGAGAACGGTGGAAAAAGCATTCTGGCCGTTGGGAGACAGTCGGGTATGTTATCTCTTTGGAGTACATTCGATTCTGATGTCCGTTTCGAGATAAGCCATCCAGATTCTATAACTTGTCTGGCATTCCGGCCAACAAAATCCCGGAGGTTATCAGAGAGACTTCGCCACCTTGAGGTCGATGTTGAGGACCTCGCTGTAGGTGACGATCTTGGGAATATCTGGTACTACTCTGTGGAATGGCCTGATAATGAAGAATGGGATGAATACGACTTCAATGGATCCATGACTTTACTCGCCAAGATTACGGCCCATACGCAGCAAATCTGCGGCATTACTTGGTCCCCTGAAGGGTCCTATCTTGCAACGGGAGGGAATGACAACTGCTGCTTGCTCTTCGACCTCCATGATATTCTTCCTCCACGGGAGCACAAGCCTTCGTCCCAGGGTCACACACCACATCAGTCGCGTCAATCGGAAGGCACAGAGTGTACAGGCACGTTTACTTGCTTTGCTGCGAGTGCTAGCAAACGGCTTTTTCGAAGGCGCAGTCTTATTAGTCACCTACTTCCGCCCTGGGCTTTTTCCAGCGCGAAGCCACTGTATTCTTCTCTCCTCAATCATACTGGGTCATTGATCTCCGGTGGTGATCGAACCGTCCTGGTCCCGTCCAACCGTCAAAGACATCGGCTGGTCCATGGCGCCGCGGTCAAGGCTATTGCATTTGCCCCTTGGCAGCCGTCTCTTTTGGCTACCGGAGGCGGGTCAAACGACCGAGCCATTCATTTCTACCACGCCCCGACGGGCGCCTGTCTGGCCACGATCAATGTGTATGCCCAGGTGACCAGCTTGATTTGGAGTCGTACCCGACGGGAAATTGTTGCCACATTCGGATTCGCACAGCCTGAGCATCCGTTCCGCATCGCAGTATTCGCCTGGCCGAGCTGTGAGCAGATCGCCGCGATTCCTTGGGGGCCGCATGGGAGTAGTTGGGACAGCCCTGAAAGCGACATGATTGACTGTGGGCGTGCACTCTGCGCTGTGAGTTATCCCGGCCGTCCTCGCGACTGCGAAGACCACAGACCGGATCAAGAAAGCCGTTCTCCCACATCGATGGTGATGCACGACCGACTAGCTGAGCAGAGTTGGAGCGAGCCCGGCCGACGGAGCACGGTTCGGGAAGTTGTACGACCTCGCGCCAAAGAGGGGGGTCTCTGGTGTTCGCGCACGGTGCAGGAAGGCTGCATCATTGTGGCTTCCAGCGACCAGAGTGTCAAATTCCATGAAGTATGGAGCGGACCTAAACGAGGTGCGGCAGTTGTGGCCGGACCTCTGGGAGGCAGTGGCATTCTCGAAGGGCTCGAAGGGCTGGAGATCCTTGGGGACGAAATCATCCGTTAATAGGCATTGCAGGCGCACATATCATTATCGATATTAATTAGGTTGAGACTTCGAAGGACTCGACTATTACTATTACACGAAAGCCAGGTGTACCTAGATACTTAGTTGCATTGTTAGATTTCAACAATAGACCGTCGCTGGTCGAAAGAAAGCTAGAAAACCGGACCGGTGCGCAGATCATGCTTGATTCGGGATTTGTGCATATCTAATAGCGCCTCTTACTTGACTCAAGCTTCGATCGCCATATCCTGCACGATGCTGAAGAAGTTCCCACTTCTGGAGCTGGAGCTGAACTCTCACTTAGAGGGCTGCAGAAAGTTATTGAACAATAAATGAATGTCCACCTGCCCTGCTCCCTTCCCAGCATACCAACCATTCCTCCCTCTCCTAATACTTACCTTGCACAGTACGCCTGCATATAAACCCAATAATTACCCCATCAACATCATATACCATCCAATAAATCATAAATCATAGCCCATCCACTATGCCTCTCCTCCACATCCTCCTAACCACCTTCCTGGCTGCATCCACCACCGCCCTCGCAGCATCACCCAACACCACCACCAGTAGTACTACGACCACCTTCCCCAACACCCTCAACATCACCACCCTCACCGCGCACAACAACCAGTCCGTCCTCGAATGCTGGGCCCTCGACCCGGGCTACTCCACCTCCGCCCAAGCCGGCGTCTCCGGCACCGCCATGCTCAATCTCGGCCCCGTCACCAGCAACGCAACTAACCTCCTCATCCCCGGTGAATATGATGGCGGCCGCCATAATGCTCCCACAATTCAGTACGCATAGCCCTACCCCTACCCCTTTTTTATCAACCATGATTACCCTCTTTCCTTTTTTTCCTTCTAGGAATCAAATATAAATACATAAATGTATACACAATATATATTTTCTAATACAATAATAATGATAATGATAATAACAGATGGGTCATCTTCCTCTCCGGCATCGCGCACATCACATTACCGAACTCGACGGACGAGGCGTGGATAGTCGGGGGTAAGAACGGGGCGATTTTGGCGCTGGATACGGCGGAGGTTAGTGCCTTGGGGCATTCTACTACTTATCCGACGGAGGAGAGCACCGTGGTGTTGGAGGTCGCGTTGAAGGAGATCCCCGGGCATAGGGTTTTGCATGGGGGGGCTTGTGGGGAGGAGGAATTGTTGTAGATAATCAGTAGTTTTTTTTCGGTTGTTTACTAGATAGGATGTTAGATGGTATGGTTATCATGATGATATGAACTACTGTATGGGAGTGGGTTGATGGTGGTTGTGAATATATAGTAGTAGTACTCAGTAGTCACTATGTTATTATTATTATGGGTAACTCTCGGTAACTATATATACAACTGTAGCTAAATTGTACTAGACTAGTATCAACGATCTTTGTATTACCATCCTTAGTACGCACTCTCAGGCTTGCTATGAGGGGGTTGTATGTTCAATAGGGGTTATGTATTGTTTACTACTGGTAGTGCTAATAGTAGTACTGCTACTATATCTGGAATCAAATGAATCATAATATATATTCATAGTACTCCGCTCCTTAGCCCTCCCCTTCCAAAGTCTAGCAATGATGCATGTTATAATGAAACAAGAAGATGATAGATAGATATAACCAACAAACGTAAAACAAAATATGAAAATCCTTGGCCTTGTTCCTTGTCCGTTCTCTGACTTTTAGTGGGAGGATAGTAGTAGTAGTGGTTGTGGTAAAAAGAAATAGTAGTATAAATCAAGACCATCATCCGGGGACACACAGTGCTGATGAACAGGGTATAAGATCTACAGGGGAGGTCGAAGGGTTCGGGTTCTCATCAGTCAATCAATCAATCGACGATTGCATTTATTTTCTGCCCTTGTTCTTCCCCTTTCCTCGACCTCCGCCGCTCAGTCGGGCCTTCTTGGACGGTGGCGGCTTCGAGGTCGACAGTGCTTGTTCGTCCTCTGACTCCTCGTCTTCCGTGTCCGCAATGAAATCTACCATCGATCCGGCACTCTCTGCATCCTCGTCGTCCTCGTCCTCATCTTCCTCTAGGGACTCCTCGGCGTCGGAGGATCCGGCGGACTCCTCCGCCTCCACGTCGAGGATGTTCTCGTCCTCTTCCTCTTCTTCTTCGCTACCGTCGTCTTCCTCGTCCTCGGACTCGTCGCCGGTCTGGACACCGTTCATCATAGACTCCTCTTCGTCGAAGGCCTGGTCGCGTATGGACTTCCGTGGGGTGGTCATGTTCTTGGCGTCAACGTCGCTGTCCTCGTCCTCGTCCTCTTCTTGGCCCTCCACGTAGATGATGTTCTCTTCATCCTCGCTCTCCATGGCCTCTTCACCGCCACGGATCGACCGGCGCAGGCCAAGCTGTGCGTCCAGCATGTCCAGCTTGCCCTTGAGCAGGAGCAGAGAAGGAAGGCTGGAGGAGCGCTGCTCCATGACCTTGAAGAGGGTGGACATCCGCTTCAGAAGCTCGGGCTTGCCGGCGAGAGCTCCACCGTGGGCGACACAGGTCCATTGCACCCACACGAGTAGGTGACCATAGCGACCCGGCCGAGTGGAGAGGCGTTCTGCGAGTTTCTGAAGTAGGGTCGCTGCAAGAGAGGAATCGAGACGCTGGATGGTGGAGCGGATGATGGAAAGTTCGCCAGTGTGGAAGCAGGACTCAAGCATGGCGTTGTCGTTGGTTTTAAGGGACTGGGTGAGTACGGTGGAAAGGGACACGCCCGTGGGAATCTGCTGCACGGCTGCGCTGGGCTTGCCTGGAACAAGCGATCCCATATGAACGTCGTCCTCAAGCTCAGCCTCCACGTCAACCTCCTGGTTGGCGCGCATGAGCTCCCCGAAAGAAGGCTCGCCTGTCTCATCTTCCTCATCTTCCTCCGAGCCGGATTCCTGTGCATTGCCCATCTCGACATCGCTGTCCGCGTCAGTCTTCTTCTGCAACTGCTTGGATTCGTTCTTTTGCTTGGGTTCCGCCTCCTCGTCGTCCGACTCCTCGTCGCTGCCAGCCACGGAAGCAGCATCCTTGGAATCTTGCATCTCAATATCGTCTTCAATAACATTTCCCTGTTCCACAACTGCCTTGGACTCGTCGACTTGGTTCTCGTTAGCGGCTCTCGCTCCGTTCGTCGTAACCGATCCCAGAACCGAACCCGACTTGGACTTGACAATCTGCTTGGTGCCTGTGAAAAGCAAGTCGTCCGTCTCTTCGTTGAGCCACTTGATCCGCTCGAAAACTGGAACAACGCCGCCCTCGGCCCAAGCAACAACCAAATCCGGACCTTCGAACGAAGCGGCCACAATGGAAACCAGGGCATTCGACGTTGCGGACACAGTCACCTTGATTTGAGAATCAGCTCTCCGGATGGCCTGCTTCGATCTGGCCTTGAGGCTAGCGGCGCCCTTTGCATTGGACTGATCGTTCGGCAGCACGAAGGGCCGAGTGAAGAGTTCGATGGTGCCATCCTCGGTGACCGCGGCGATGACCTGCTTCTCTGCCGGCAGAGTAATACCCTTCCGTTCCGCACCAGTGTACAGAGACACTGATGATACACCATTCTCGGCCACGAGGTTCAGGGCAAGCTTTCTTTTCTCGACATCGAAAACAGTAATGTAACGGTCGCCATCAGCAGCGAGGAACAGTCCGGCAGCGGCAGAATCCGTAGAAGAAGGGATGATGTTCTTGATCGGGTTCCGCATCGCATCGAAAGTGACTGGGGCTTCATCTTTTTCTACGCTAACGACGTACGGGGTCTGAGAGGCGCAGATAACAGGTGGGTTCGAGGGAAGCGGGCGCGCAAGTGTGCTGAGGGCCGATGTGCTGGGAATATGAATTGTCCTAGATAACAGTTAGGTGTGATGCCGGGCTGTACCGAAGTTGCTGGGGAAAGAGCTACCTGGTCGTCTTCCCGGTGAACAGATCCCACTGCACAAGCTTATTATCACCGCCGATACTCCAACCCTCCTGTCCAGGTCGGCCGGAGGTGAACTTGAAGTCTCTGATACCTTTCTCGTGTCCGTTTGCAAGCGTTCCGACGATCTTGTCCTCCACAGGCGAGTACATGCGGATTTCGGAGGCGCTGGTACCAATGGCAACCACTACGTCTCCCTGGTCGAACCCGTTGCCATTGACGTCGGAAGGTCTCTTTCTCTTCTTCTTAGACTGCTGATCGCGCTCCTTCTTTGTGCTGGAGTAGTAACCCCAGTCTAGGGAAGTGACGGTCTCCTTAGGACCCAAGACATGCTCGCATTGTAACCGTCCGGTATTCGTATCGTGGATGCGGAGATGCTGAGCATCGAGACCCTGGATGACCGATGCAAAAAGCGCCAATTGGTATTCCGACGGGGCAAACGAAGCCTTCAGTATCGATGACTTATTCCCGGTATATGTGAGGCCGGATGCCGCGGGCGACGCAGCGGAGGAAGTTTTCGTCGCGGGCGGGCGAGACGCTTTCTTGCCCATTTTGAACTGGCTAGCTGTATAGGCGGATAGGAGCAGATGCAAAAGAACGTGTCGCAAAGCAGACACCCAAAGGTACAAGAATTCCTAGACCCGCTGCGGATAAGGAACAGAACCTCTTGTGCTGAAAGCCAGTTGAGCTGCAAACCGTCGGCGTCGCTGGGCCGTTGATGCTGGAGGAGGAAAAAAAAGTTCTGTAGAGATGCGCTTGGCCCGTTGCGGTCTAGTCGCCTGTGAACCTTAGTTCCGCTCCGGGCGTCTTATCTAATCCTCCGCGCGGGTTGCAGCACATAATAACTAAGCAGACAGCGGTTCTCTCCCCCTCAAAGTGCACAGAACTCTCTCCTCTTCCTTCGACGTCGATCGAACAGCGCCCTCTTCTAGTCTTCCAATGCAACAGTTCTCTTCACCTATCCGTCTGTCTGACTGATTGACTGACTGACTTGTCCTGACCTGCTCACATTTACCTCATACTTCACATGAATCAATGTTCCTTGCAGAGTGCTTCAGGTCCACTTGCTACAATGGCTCTGATCACCACGAGATTCACAGACGCCCACTGGGCAACATTCAGAATGGTTGACCCCGCGTCTTCTACAATCAACTAACCACTGCTGCAATATTTCTCCTGATTTCACAACTCATCCTTCGCTCCACATCCAGTTTCGTTGGGTGATGACAATAGGTTTGTCAAGGATTTTCACCACAATTTCTCTTTCACATGATTGCTCGCAACTATAATTTCATTCTTCGATGATTCCTTTCCATGGTTCCATCTAGCTTATCCCTCACAGAGGGGGTGGCATGTTGGGTGCACTTGATCTTGTTAATAATTATACGAAGAATGACTCACACTTCATCCGGACATATCCTGCTACCTATGCAGGTATCCACGTCTTGATCCACAAAAAGTTAGGGGCTCTGGCTGAGGCAAGACATATCCGAGATGATGGAGCACACTTGGGGTAGTCTCTGATTGCGACCAACAGAACAAGGAGTGGCAGCAGGCGCCACCGTTACTCTACGGCTGCCTAGACGAGTCATCCAGTCAACCCAGCAATATTGTGAGCAAGGCAACTCATCAAACGCCAGTTGGAAATGCCGCAGCCACAGCAGCCGCCACTCTTACAGCTCTTATACGTGATACCTTTCACCGGTATGCGGGCCAGCTCGCGAAATGGTGTTGTCACTCGGAATCGGAGTCGGAGCTCTGGCCGGAGTGGTTGGTTACATCAGCAGGTACACCCAGCCTAGTCCGGATCCGATGCAAGGGAGGGTTCAGGGCCTAACCCTGGGGTTTCATCAGGTCTGGTGACCTCCACAGCCTGGCTCGGCGTCCAGCTCAACAGGCTTCACCCCGAATCCATGATGCACTTCTTATACCGCTTGAATGCCTGACAGATTTTTGGGTATGTCATATCTGACCTGACTCACTTCCAGTATCATCACGATGCATCTTGTCGATGAAATAGGATGATGGGGGCTCTGTGCCGATCGTTATTCCTCCAAGGTTTGGAAGGTTGTGGAATGCCTGGTTGCATTTTCAGCTTATGTTGTTGTCTTCACCACCACCTGAAGACTTTTTTTTTTTTTGCTCACACCTCTCTTGTTGTTTTCGATGTTTCCGACAAAGGGAACTTCTGGTACCCGGAACCTGGGTCCACCGTCCAGGGTTGGTTACAGCCAATAACAACTCGTATCTCGTAGAACGCGTCATCCCTGGACCAATCAGCGGCTGCGGAATGGCTTGAACTAGAATAATTGGGACTAGCGTGGCCGATGGAGTTAGCGGCAGAGGACGGACGGGCGCAACGCGACCGTTCGTACTTAAGGATTCTAGCACCCCCTCCGACTTTCTCAGTCTCTGTTTCTGGAGCTGAGCTGAGAGCTGCTGCGCGCCGGTCACGCTTTCCTTTTACCCTGCCATTCACGCCCCCCCCCGACCGCCCTTGTGTCCTCGGCTGCCCCTGGACTGCGCTCCATCTCTCCTTCCTTCATAAACACGCTATTCACGCGTCATTCGCGTCGCGCGCTTGCTCGATCCCAGCCACAGCTACTGCAGCTGCTTATTTGGGTTCCAATTTTATTTTTTGGCCCGCCCCTTTCCCCTTTTTTTCTTTCTAATATTATTAGCAACGACTCCATCGCGTTGCCGACAACACGGACTTTACTTCACTGTATCTTCCTCATCGCTTCCCCCCCCCATCCCTTTCAGCTCTTACTCCAGGCACCAACACCTGGTTTCTGGCCTCAGGCAGCCATCGCGGCTTGGCACGTGCAGATTGTGGATTGACGAGCATTTGAGCTCCAACTGACATTCTCCTTATCTCGTCTTCTCTCACCTGCTGCTTTCCCCCTAGTCCCTTTCTTTCATTGAATTCCGTCTTTTTCCCTCTTCGGTCTGGCGACTTTTTATTTGCCTCCCGCTTAGTCACCGGTACTTGCCGCACCACGTGACTGCAGGCTATCTTCCGCCCGCCGCCCTCTTGGCAATATAAATATTCCTCCTTCCTGTCGCATTCTCCACCCCCCTCCGGCCCGCGCTAATCTTCCATCCTTTCTTGTATCTCTTGCAACTTCCGTGGCGTCGCATACCATCTGTGGCCTGCGCAAGACACCCGTCTGCCCTTGTGTGTCTTCTGTCATCTAATCAGCTGTTGTCGCTCGCCGATTACCGAAAATCCATACATTAGTCTGTGTTAGCGCAGAGAGTACCTATTCAGTTGATTTGTGTTACTGCCGCTCCCTAAACTTTCCGATTCCAGTGACCAGCTCCTGCGACCAGAATCGCTGCCTGTTAGATTCTTTTGTACCCCCGGTCCCGTCGGAGGACATAATCGAAAATTCAGCGACCTCAAATGGCGACGCCGCCTCCCGAGGCTCCCTCTGCGATCAAAGAGGAGAAGCCTCAATTGCCGCCGTCGCCCAATGGAGTTTCGCCTGCGGATACCGGTCGCACAGGGTATGCTCCGCTTTGAGCGTTTCGTGTATACGCCATCTGTTTGCTAATGTCTTCACAGAGTCCAAGATGCTGTAGTCAACGCTAAATCGGACGCGCCCGTCAACGGTGCAGAGAAGCCGATAGAGGAGACCAAGTCCGCCACGGCAAACGGAACGACTGCCGAGTCTACCTCCAACACAAACGGCGTAGCCGCGACCGCATCCCCGCCTAAGAGTCCATCCTTGCCGACCGCAGATACTTCCGCACAACCAGCCGTCGCGTCCGAAGAAGCCAAACCTTCAAATGTGGATTCCGCTGCGACTGGGGAGAAGGAAACCGCTAGTGAAAAGACGTCTGCGGCTGCACAGGCTAGTGGCGAAGGTGCGAGTGGCGCCAAGTCCAAAGACACACAGGCGCTTCAGGATGCTTCAAAGCCATCAACTGATGCGCCGTCCGACGCTAAAGTGGAGAGCACTGCCCAGCCATCACAAGATACTGCCGCTGTGAAAACCGAATTGCCTCACCATCCTTCGAATGCGAAGCCAGAGAGCACAATGCAGACAGAGGCTGCTAGTACGGCTCCGTCGGTGCCGCCACTGCAGAACGTGGATCAGGAGATGCGTGACGCGCCGGATGTTCCGGCCTCCCCGACAAAGATTTCGAGGGAGCGCGAACGCGATCCTAGCGATGAGCCCGCCGCCAAGCGTACCAAGATCGGAGGTGAAGGTGCAGCGGCGTCCGCCGAGTTCAAGGTTCCCGATTTGCCTACACCTACCGAGGCGCGCTCGGAACGGGCTACAAATGGAGAAACAACCATGACCAAGGTTCAGCACAAGTTCCTGTCCAAGTCCATCCAGAGCCTGAAGCGGATGCACGATTCCCGCTTCTACAGAGAGCCTGTGGATCCCATCAAGCTGAATGTCCCCCACTACCCGCAGTTCATCAAACGGCCTATGGACCTTGGAACCATTGAGAAAAAGTTGAAAAACAACGTGTATCGGACTGCACAGGCCGTTATTGATGATTTCAACCTCATGGTTCAGAATGCGTTGACATTCAACGGTCCCGACCACCTTGTCGCTCAAGAGGGGCAGAAGCTCAAGATCACGTTCGATAAGCAGATGGCCAATTTACCTCGAGCCGATGAAGTGGAGGAGAAGAAGCCGAAGAAGTCTGTTGCTAAGCCCTCGACAGCAATCCGTCGAGATCACCGACCCGCCCCAAGTCCTAGCACAGCACGCGCCACCGGCGCTTCTCCCCAGGCGACAACCTTTGCCCTGGGCCCGGAAGGCCTTCCTTTGATCCGCCGTGATTCTGCTAATGCCGATGGGCGTCCTAAGCGTTCCATCCACCCCCCTAAACGCGATCTCCCGTACTCCACGAAACCGAAGAAGAAGAAATATCAGTGGGAGCTGAGATTCTGCCAGGAGGTGCTGGATGAGCTGCACAAGCCCAAGCACTACACCTACGCGATGCCTTTCTACCATCCCGTTGACCCTGTTGCGCTCAACATCCCTACGTATCACAGCATTATCAAGAAGCCCATGGATTTCTCTACTGTGCAAAGCAAATTGAGGGCCGGCCAGTATGAGAATGCCAAGGAGTTTGAGCTTGATATGCGCCTCATCTTGAAGAACTGTTTCAAGTTCAACATTCCAGGTGACCCGACCTACATGGCGGGCCAGCGGCTGGAGGAAGAATTTAACAAGAAATGGGCCCAGAAGACACGGTATCTGGAGCAGCATGAACCGCATGTCGAGCATCACAGCGCCGAGTCGTCCGAAGAAGAGAGCGAGGAGGACGCCGAAGAAAGCGACTACGATGCCGAGAAGCTCAGCCTGCTGCAGAAGCAGATGGAAGAGATGACCCGCCAGATCGAAGCTATTACGAAGAAGAAGAAGACACCCCCTGGAAGCAAAAAGCTCGGAAAGACCAAGCCGGGGAAGAAGGAGAGCAAGAAGCCTAGCACTATGGGGCTCGCCAAGAAGGAGAGCAAGAAGAGCACCACCAAGGTTTCAGCCAAACCGGAGAAGCAGCACTGGGTCACCTACCATGAGAAGCAGATTATTTCCAACGGGATTAGTAGCCTTCCTGATAAGAAGATGCAGGAGGCTCTCAAAATCATCCAGACTAATGTCCCGGCCCTCAAGGTAAGTTGTTTGCTTAATGTGATCTTACATTCGATGCAAGGCCTAACAAGTTCTGCAGGGCACCCAAGAGGCTGAGATCGAGCTCGACATTGATGAGCTTCCTAACGATGTTCTCCTTATGCTACTTCGGTTCGTCAAGAAGAACGCGCCGCATGTGGTAGAGGAAGACCCTGCCTCTGCGGCCGCGGCGAACGCAGCCGCCCCGAAGCCGAAGAAGAATAAGCCCATGAGCAAGTACGAGCAAGAAGCTCAGATTAACATGCTCGAAAGCAACCTGTCTCGGTTCCAGGGTGGTGGCGGTGGCCGTTCTCCAGACCCTATGCCCTCCGTCGAAGCCAACGAGAGCAGCGACGACTCTGAAGATGACTCGGAGGAGAGCGAGGAGGAGTAAATGATCGCTGCCTCTGGCAAGCCATGTTGTTCTTCTGTTTGCTGGGCCTGTGCCTCATGACTTCAGTAGTTAATTCCCACCGCGTGTTACGCCATGGTCTTTTCTTCTACCCACTAATGAGCTTTGTTTTATTTTCCATCACTCTACTTCTGTTCCTAGCGATCGTGTTTTCATTTCCTTTTCCTTACTTTTTTCTTTTCTCTATTTTCCATGTTGGAGGACAGTGCGACCGGCAGTGAGCCGCGCACTTGTACATATGGTACGATTTGGGGAGATTTGGAGAACGTTTGACGACCAGCAGCGCAATCGGATGATCCCTTTGATGAGTTTGCGTTGGATCTCTGTTGAGCTGAGGGACGTCGAGTTCATCAGCAGCGGTGATCGGGGTCGGATGCGAGAGAAGCATGCTGGAAAGGCTAGGTGCGTGTATGATTACGAAAGAAATGTGAAAACGGAAGCGCAAATTCAGCATTGTATTATGATATGATATCCATTATGGTTCTTGTAGAGTGTAGACGAAGCTCTATCCACATCTTATTGATTGTAGATCGCCAGGTCACGGGGATGAGGCGGTGGCCGCCTGGTTGCTCGCCGCCTGTTGATGAATGATGCACTTCCACCTGCGCCACGAGAGCTTCACGCGCAGCCCCTGCCATGAACCATGATTCCGCCATGCGATCCGGTCATTCTTGAAAATAACCCTCAATTTAAGAGACTTTATACCCACCTGACGACAACTCTACTGAACCCCGATGGCTCCACTCGCGCCCAGGATGCGCAACCGGCTCGACAAGCCGTTGTGGAAGTACGTCCTACCTCCCAATCGTGACTCTAGCTCATGATATCCACTCCTGAATGGCCCCCTGACCCTGGATTACAATATAGGAGGTGAAAGCCTGCCGGATACGAGACGCGAAAAAGCAAATTAAGAAGCAAGCCTTGCGACGACTGGCATTCGACCCGGACAGCGGGCTCCCCGACGATGTTAGCAACCACCACCTACCACTCTACAGAGAAGGCAGCCTTACTAACAATATATCCAATCATCCAAGTGCCGAGATCCCGTCGCCATCATAACCCTCTATCTCGAATCCTCCCCCGACTTACTCAAGCTTGACGACGACCCCAGCGATGCAGCAACAGACGCGCAATTACTCCTCGCACCAGACATCGACGAATTCTACTCCAACCTCCCTCTCCTAGCCACTCCTCTATCGAACGTCCTTTCCCAAACGCTCAACGACATCCGCACAATCGCCAATGCAGGATCATCGGACTCCTCAGACTCCGGATCTACATCAAGACCCAATGAACCGCCCCGAACAACCCGCGCACGCAATCGCCAGGCCATGCTCAGGTCCATCGCGCAGGTTTCACTCGCCTCCCAGCTCGGAGACCGTATCCGCGCCCTGCGCCAGATACAATTGACGGAGCTTCCAACAGCTCGGACCCGGATGGCAGCGACGGCGGCGGAGGTGCTCGCGACGCGGGCAGCAGTGCTGGAGCGCACGGTGATGCTTCTGGAGCGGGCGAAACATGGGGCGATGGCTCGGGCGGCGAAGGCGAAGGCGGACCATTTGGTTGCGGTGGCTCAGGGGATAGAGGGGAAGCTTAAGTATGTATACGATCTGTCTGAGAGAGATGAGATGGGTGTACGGGGGGCTAATGTGATCTCATCAATGCAGTGTCACGAAACTCGAAATTCTCGCAACGATACATACACCAGAGGTTGTGGATGCGCTACATAGGTATTACCAGCATCTTCGGGAAACGAGGGAACGGCTGGAGGAAAGACGTGCTATGGCGTTGGATGAGTTAAAGAGCTACGAGGGTAGTATTGATGGAGCCGGGCGCGGACCGATGAAGGAGCTTGCGCGACAGTATGGATCGTTGATTCAGGAGGTAGAGGATGTGAGGATGGAGATTGAACGATTGCATGTATAGTATTAATTTATGATAGATACCCTGATATGAACATGAACCCAATACATAAGATCATCATTATCATAAGCATAGTTATTCCATATTCCATATATTCCATACGAAAGAATGAACCAATCACCAACCCCGCAATCACCTGACCCCTCCCGCCAAAACTTTTCTTTTGCCGTCCACTCACTGATAACGATAGTAGCCCACTTTATTCTTGTGCTCAGGAACCAGGTCACCCCAACTCTCTATTCTCCCCGAACAAAAGAACCCCTCGAACTATATAAAAACGAGAATAAAAATGGCCGACGAAGCCCTCTCCATCTACGACGAGATCGAAATCGAAGACATGACCTTCGATCCCGTTCTCCAGATCTACCACTACCCGTGTCCCTGTGGCGACCGATTCGAAATCGCCATCGACGATCTCCGTGACGGCGAGGATATTGGTGTTTGTCCCAGTTGTAGTTTGATGATTCGGGTGATTTTCGATCAGGTAATATACTCTTTCTCCTTCCCGTCTTTGTCTTTTTGGGATTTCCTATACATGATTGGGATTAGTTGTGCTGATTATGTGATGTTAGGCCGATCTTCCCAAGGACGGTGATGATAAGAATGGGTCGGCGGCTGTTGCTGTTCAGGCTTAAATGATGGGATTTGATCTGATCTGCCGGTTGGGTTGGGTCTGATTTTGATTGAAAATTGGATTGGGTTGGATTGGCTCGCTCGCGGACGAATGATTGTTGCGCCTGGGTACCTTCAACGATACCTCGGACGAACGACGAAGTATTCGCTGCGAGATGTGTGTCGACTTGAGGACGTCGCTTGATGATAGTATCAGTGGATGTCACGGTTTGAGCAGCAGCAGCTGTTGCTGCTGCTGCGACAGCAAATACTCGACATGCTATATACAGCTTGCTGCGCTAGAAAGCGAGCGCAGGCGCAGAGCCGATGCCGCGCCAGTATAACACGGGCGCATATGACGCAGGATAGCTGTATATGCGCTACATGGGGCAGGCCAAATGAGTCAACGATGACGGAAATGAATGGATGAATGAATATTCCACTTGGATATGTTGTCTGCGCACAAGTACTCTACACTAGTACCGCGCCGAATTGTATTATCTACTACCAGGTACTACAACACTAAATAACTAGCACACACACACACACACACACACACACACATCAATCCATATCCTACACTATCCCTCAACCACCCAGCCGTAGACATAAAAGTCATCCACTTCCCGAGATCAAAAGGAAGCAGCAGCCTACTCAAGAACCTCACTATACACATCCCTCGGCAAGCTCAGAGTCAACTCATGGTTCAACAAATCCGTGAGATTCGACCCATCCCGGAGGTAAATCCACTGTCCGTTGATAAATTCTCTAGACTCCTGCTTCTCATGCATTTGATCACCCTCCACCACCCAATCGTACCGCTTGGGACCGGAAATCGGCGAGCTCAACCAGATCTGCTTGTTGGGGGGCTGCTTGTTAAGCACGTAGGTGCCTACCCCGGGGACGATAATGTTCATGACGCCGGCCTAGATCATTTTATTATCGATGTCAGTTGAAACGTTTCTTCTCTTCGGTACCGTCGCTCGGAAGTATCACGGAAGGATAAAAACGAACACTATACTCAGCCTCTATATCCGAACCCTCCTCCTGGGCCTTCTCAATCTCATTCTGCACCACGTTCAGGTAGTGTTCCGCGTGGTCATGGTACTGCGCGTCCGTCAACGGGGAAGGCTCGGTGACGTGGGTGGCTGCGCCGGCGACATTGCTGGATTGAGGGTGCGGAGCTGGAGGGTCTGCAGAGTCGGGGAAGATGCCTTTACGGGGTGCTGAGGTGGCGTGGAAGCATCGACGGGGGAGCTGGGGTTGAGGTTGAGGTTGCTGGAATGGTGTTGCTGTTGCGAAGCGGGCCCCGACGCGGAGGGAGGGACGGGCGGCAGTTGTAGCGGCGGGGGAGAGGATTGCTCGGGGGAGACGGGAGTACATGGTTGGATTCATGGTGCTGGTGTAATTGAAGTTGTGGTGGTGGTGAAGAAGGAGAAAGGGAAAACAGGAAGAGGAAGAGGAAGAACAAGAAGAGAAGAAGTGATGGCATCACATCATCGAGTGCGGAGCAGAGCGGGCTGTCATTGGCTGTGGAGAGAGCTATACCTTTTAGTCTGTCAGCTTCATCAGCCGATCTTCCTTCTTGCTTCTTACTTCTTCCCTCCATTGCTTACTACTTACCTTCGCTATTTAATGTGAGTCATTCGAAAATATCTCTGAATATAATCTCTCAATGCGCCTCTGCAGGTCCTTCAACCCCTGCATCTCATCCCATACAATACTACTACAATTCCAACCCCGATATCAGCTCCAACTGCCACTCAGCTTCCCACGACTTTACCACCACCACCACCACCACCACCACCATAAAACCATGTCCAACCCACGACCAAACCCAAATCCAAAGAAAGAAAAACGCCCTCCACTCACCCACTTCCTCTGCCTCCCCCTCATCAACGCCATCTCCCTCCCACAACTCGAATCCTCCCTCGCAACCTTTAAAGCCTCAATCCCAACTTTCCAACCTCCACAAGACCAACACCAGCACCAACATGAACACCACCAACACCAACCCCAACCCCTCATCCCCCCCTCCGCCCACCGCCCCGTCGGCACTCTCCACCTCACCCTCGGCGTAATGAGCCTCCCCACTCCCGACCGTCTCTCCCAAGCAATCCGCTTCCTGCACTCCCTCGACCTAGAAGCCATGCTTCGCGAAACCCCACAATCAGAAGCAGCACCAGCACCAGCAGCACCAGAAGCAACCGCATCTCCCTTCCTCATATCCCTAGAATCCCTACACGCTATTCCCCGCGCCAAGGCAGCAACGGTTCTGCATGCCGCGCCGGTGGATCCTACGAACCGCCTGTATCCGTTTTGTGTGAGGTTGAGGGATAGGTTTCTGGAGGAAGGGTTTTTGGTAGGGGATAAGCCAGCGCCGGCGCCCGTGCCGGCGGAGGGCGGAGGGGAAGGAAGTGGTGGGGTGGATATAGGTGGTGAGGAGCAGCAGAGGCAGATGGATTTAGCTGAGGATAGTGCAAGGGAGGGTGGGATGATGGTGCCTGCGCCGACATCTGCAACTTCAGCTGCGCCTGTGGAATCTAAGCCCAAGGTACGGCCATTGTTACTGCATGCTACAATTGTGAACACTATCTATGCGAAGGGGAAAGGTGGTGGTCATGGTGGTCGGGGAGACAGAGGTGGTAGGGGAGGGGATGGCAAGGGCGATAAGAGGAAGAGGCAGTATACCTTTGATGCGAGAGAGATTCTTGCTAGGTATCGTGATTATACGTCTCCTGGGGAGAGTGTCGAGAGTACTGAGACTGTTCCTGATGCCGCAGTTCCTGATAATGAAGGCTCAGGGTCAGAGGGTGAGGGTAGTCTTTCCAAACGGAAAGGCACACCCTTCGTCTGGGCGAGGGACTTCCCCATCGAGTCGGTATGTATCTGTGAAATGGGGGCCAAGAAGCTCGTACCCGACCTCAATGGCAAGGACGAGGGCATGAATGCACGACTAGGGGAGAAATATCGCGTCGTAGCGGAGAAGAGTCTGCTGTTCGGTCCGTGATATCTTTAATATCAAGTTGGCTAAAAGAGCAGCAGCAGCATGTACATACATAGTCTACAACCAGGGTGTAACGGTAACAACAGTAGATAAACGCCAAACACCACGCTGAAAGACACACCCTCTCAACCACCAAACAATAACCTCAACTACCTCACCTTACTCATCAACGTCTCCATCCCCCTCTCAACCGACAATTCAGCCGCCTTCGCCTTAACAGCACTGATCATACTGCGTTCAAAATCATCCCTCGTCCTCAAGACAGCCTCAACCCACGAGAGCTGCAAATCCCAATACTCCGTCTTAAAGTTCTCATACACAGCGACCAAAGCAGGCCCCTTCTCCGACTCCAGCAGCCTAACCAACCAATCCACCAACCGCCACTTCATCTTAATAGTGCCGGCAAACGAATCCGGATAATTCTGGAAGAAAGCAAACACTGTAAGGACATCATCCTTGAATTTATCCGTGTACGGATCGGTATTGTGCCGGAACTTGACGCCCTTGTTGCGCACAGAAGACAGGTATTTGACGAGTAACTCGTCGGAGAGTTCCTCGACCAGGATATCCGTAAGAGAGGGGTGCAGGACGGGGGAGTAATCCGCCATATAGTCTTCGAAGGTTGAAGTGATACGTTTGACAGCGAAATCGCCGTACCATTTCTGGGTGAAGAAGTCGGGGATAGTGGTGCGGAAGTCGACGGCGAAGATGAGTTCAACGAACTGGGTGAGGCAGTGGGTGCTGAGATCGACGTAGCCGTCGCGCAGGGCGTCGAGTTCTGGAATGGCTCGGGAGGCCATGTAACTCGGGTCGACGATGGTTTCGAAGTCGCGTTTGAAGCGACTGAGGTAGCCCAGCTGGCCGGTCTCTTCGTTGTCGTCGATGCAGGCGATTTGGTCGTTGGCGACGGCGACGAGCCAGTCTTGGAGGAGTTGGAGGCCGTCCAGAAGGTCGCCGCCGGGGGCTTTGTATTTGGCGCATTCTTCGTCGATGAGGGTTTGCCAGGCGACTTGGCGGGCTTTGAGGACGCGGAACATGGCGTCGATGATACCTTCGACGACGTCGGTGCGGGAGGAGGCGCCCGAGGCCATGATTTGCTCGTGCAGCATGCGCCACATGTCGGGCAGGGTCTTGGTGCGGAAGCAGCCTTCTGGGTTGGTATCGAGGGAGTCCGGGATGCGTTCGACCAGTCCCTTGCGGTCGGTTTCGGTGATGCGGTTGGTCCAGTCTTCCACGGCGCGGATGATGATGTTTTGCCATTGGCGGATGAGTTCGGGTTCGCGGTCGTCAAGGATGTTGGGCTTGAGGTCGGCTTGTTTCCAGCCGAGCTTGTTCATCTTCTTGTAGTATTTCTCGGTCCAGTGAATGATAGCGAGAAGGTTGTCGGCTGGTAGTTCGGGGTCGTTGATCAGCCCGATGAAGAAGTCGTGCATCATCCGGTGGTAGATCTCTGTGTAGGTCTTGTAGATCTTCCATTTCTTCGGCATCAGCGGCTGCATGCCCTGCTGAACGGTGTAGAGGTCGTTGAAGAACCATCGGAAGTTCTTGTCCAGGTTGTCTGGCTGGGCCAGGAAGTCCTCTTTGGTTGCGTCGAATTGGTTCTGCGCGTAGAACTCGATGGCTTGCAGGAACTTCTCCTTGTATCCCCTCACTGTCTTAGGGCCCACATTCATCGACTTGAACCGGTCTGCCAGGTCCTGGTGATCCTTCTGAGCCTCCTGCAACGCGCGCACCGTCTGATCATTCTTCTCCTCGTTCATGACCACAACCGCCAGCCGCACCACCATCCCAGGGTTATCCGACTGCACCAGCGGGATCAAGTTCATGCACGCCGTACCAAGATGGTCATCAAACCAATCGACCACGCCATCCAATCCTTGAAAGTAATCCGCCAGAGTCTCCTCACTACTCGGATCCTGCGCCTTGCGTATCTGATCCATAGCCTCGTCCCTGAAATCGCGCAGCCTCGAAATCTGCATATGAGCGCGCAGTAGATTAGGTTGGTTCTCCAAATCACCATCATCCTCGCGCAGAAGGTCCTCAACCACCGCCAGATTCTCACTGAACTCCTCCAGCCCCTTCTTCATCGTCAACGTGGCCTCGAAGTTCCTCTGCACCTTGGCCAGCTTGTCAATCTGCGAGAAATCCTCCACGCTCGTCTGCGACTCCGCGCATAGCTTGTCAATGCCTTGCAGCTCGTCTTTCGTCTTGGAGACCTGTCGCTGGCCTTCGGTGAGGGCGTTGATGCTGCGCTGCACGGTCTCGAGTTGGTCGCGCAGTCCTTCCCGTAGCTGGGAATCCACGGCCGCTTTCTTGCGCGAGTATTCGGCTTTCAGACCCATGATCTTGTCGAGGTCTTCGGGGTGGCGGAGGATATCTTCTAGACGGGGCATGGCCACCGTTCCGTCGTCGTCTCGTGCCATGGTTTGTAGCTGTCGCAGTCGGAATGCGCCTGTCGAAGCTCACGGTATATTCGTTCAACGAGTGCGTAACGCACGAGAATAGATATGCAGTCGGCTGGATATTATTACACCACCCCAACAAGTATAGTCCAATCAACCGACCGATGGTGGTTAGGTACAGTAACAGCTAGACCATAAGCTAGCAGCAGTTATCCCCTCCTAAACGCGCAGCGCCCCGGGGTATATCTGCATGCCACAAGAACCATTAGCATCGTAGCCTTAGAGCATCAAAACAAGAATCAATTCTCACCAGTGGCTCACCGAGCCAATCAATGTTCCAAAAATGACAATTGTTCCAAACATACAGTTGCAAGTAGGTAGCTAAACACCGCAAGCATAGTAATAGTAGTAGTAAATGCCACCCGCATTTCCCGCCCGCCCGCCAACCGGCAGAACACATCAACCACGTGACTCCCCGCCCAGAAACGCTACCGCCATCGGGAAATTTGCGGAATCAACAGCAAAAGCATCCTAGCAAGCAGCATTCGCAACCACGAGAACAAGTCCACATCCTCCAGACCAACGGGGCCATTGACCGCCACCTGACCTTCCTCCGAAACCTCACTATCACCCACCACAACCACCACCAATCCAATCCAACCCGCCAAAATGAGCAGCTACTTCCGCGTCACGCTCATGCGCTCAGCAATCGGTCTCCCACGCCGCACCAACGACGTCCTGAAAGCCCTCGGTTTGAAGAAGCGCATGGCCACCGTCTTCCACCCCGTGTCGCCGTCTGTGGCGGGTCAAATCATGAAAGTCAAGGAATTGGTGCAGGTGCAGGAAGTCGATCGTCGGCTCACGAAGCAGGAGGTGCATTTGGAGCGCAAGCCGGATCCGGGATACTATGTTGAGAAGACCTCCGGGGTGGAGTTTGAGGAGAATAGATTGGCTTGATTGATATCCATCCTTGGGGGTGGGTTGTTGTCGTTGTTCTCGATTCGGCTTTCTTTGCGGAATGGTTCATTTTCATCTATCTGATTGATTGCTTGGTATGCGATTGGAGTCTGGGCTTTTACATATGTTATTGTTGATTTTGTTGGATATGCCTGCTTATGTGGGTGGGATGTGTACTATATGAGACTGAGGGAGTGAGTGAACTCCCTATTCAGAGGTGGAGGTGAAGGGAAGTGGAATATTGCATGCATCCAGCGGCTTTTTCTTTGGTCAGATTGCATGTCCGAGTCCGATATACTGGGTTCATTTTGCGCAACGATTTTGCATTGTACTATACTACACATATTGTCATATGGAATGGGATCTACATCAACCCTAAAAGTTTCAAGTCTTAACGTCTGTTTTATAGGAATAATTGTCCAAGTAGACGAAGCAATACCCAACCAATACACCATAACACCAATTGTCCGCTATTTGCAGTTCTTAAAACTTATGCGCTTTTCAACCCATATGGACAGTGTGGGCATTTCTGAACCAATCTAAGCTTTGTACAGGGTGTCCAGGAATCCCTCGGCCAGGCGGCTGACAATGCTCTTGTCCGGCATGCTGCCGGCCACGCCGTACAGGGCAGCAGTGTCTCCACGCTTAACAACGTACGACTTGCCTTGCCGCTTCCTCTCTTCCGCCTTTGCCAGCTCCGCCTCCACAGCTACGACCAGGTCGGTGGTAAGTGCATCCACAGCAGCGGCCGTAGGGACAGTGAACGCGACGTGGATCGCCGGGGGCGACTGAAGCGCATTGAGATGCCAGCCCTTGGCAGAAAGGCTGTCCGCAATATCGTAAATATCAACGGCATCATTCTTGCTGTAGAACGCAACAACGCTGACCATGGGCTTTCCAACAATGTCCAAGCTCTTCGACAGAACTGGGTGCTCTTTGATCGAGGATTCAAACTTCTTGGCCGCGCCCATGATGTCCAGGCAGCTCTTGATGTAGCCAGACTCGCCAACGCTCATCAGACTGGCCCAGCACCCGGCAATCAGTGCACCGGGACGGGAACCTGCCACAGACGGGGAGGCATAAACACCACCGGACCAGTCCGGGTAGATGAAGTATTGGTAACTGCGGTAGGTCTTGTTGCGATACAGGAGCACTGAGTTGCCCTTGGGTGCAAATCCATACTTGTGCGTGTCCACACTGATGCTAGTCACACCAGGGAGGCGGAAATCAAAGCCACCTTCCTCTTCATAGGGCGAGGCAAAGCCCGCCTTCTTCAAGAAAGCAACAACAAAGGAGCCAAGGCAGCAGTCAACATGCAGAGGGATCTTGTAGGACGTCGCGAGGCGAGACAGAGCCGGAATGTCATCAACGATTCCGTGGGGGAAGTTGGGTGCCGAGCCAACAATCAAGACAGTGTTCGAGTTAATCAGGCGACGCACGGAGGGGATGTCCACCTTGTACTCAGGAGCCGGGCAGGGAACGCGATGGAGCTTGATCTTGAAGTAGTTGCAAGCTTTAATGAAGGCAGCATGAGCGGTATCGGGGATGATCCTACGGACGTGTCAGTTGATACAGTTGATAAGCAGGAAAGGTATAGAAGTGGCCACTCACATTTCCGGTTCCTTTACGCCGCGCTCGAGGAAAGCCTTCTGGCGCGCACCCAAGCATGCCATGATGATCGACTCCGTACCACCACTGGTGGTGACACCCGCGCCATCGGACGGGGCATTGAACAACGCCAAAACCTAATCCAAGTAAGCCAGCGTACTCGTCAATTATCCGGGGATCATTACCATAGCCACGACTTCGGCCTCCATCTTCCGAACACCAGGGAACACATCAGGGTGGATGGGGTTGGCAACACCAAACTGTCCGAAGGCTTCCGCCTGCAGCTTCAACAGGTCCTGTCCACCGTGATAGACAGCACCACTGACACGGCCATCCTCCCAGCGCGTATGTTCCATGTTCGCCAGCTTGTCGAGCTCAGCGCGAACCTGTTCCGCGGTCCATCCTTCCTTCGGAAGATTCAGATAACGATTAACGCCGGGCCCAGACGCGACGAGTTTCGATTCAAGATTCTCAATAGCTGTGGAAACCTGCTTATCAACCTGGCCACGGACGCCAGGGAACCGCAAGAAGATGGAATAACAGAAGAGACGGACGGCGGCGTAGGCATTGCGGATGCTGCCGAAGATGCCATAACCGCGCAAAGAATAGAATGTCTTGCGAACGTAGCGAAGGATAAAGAGGACAAAAACGATATTTCGAAGACTGGTTGTCCGGTGATTGTCAGATTAGCATGGAGCTCCCAAGAAAACAAAACAAACGTCTGACGAGCGAGCGATCGTCCGTAGTGACGCGGGGGCAATGGAAAGCTGCTCAGCCACTCACAAGTCCAGATGTGCCGCCGCCAGCTGGGTGCTGGGGGCCCTGCTGTAGCCCAGCAGTTTATTCTGCAGGGCGACGGGAAGTAAAGAAGATGCCATGTCCGTGAGCAATAGAAATAAAGCCGGGTCGGAGTAAGGGCACGACGACCTCCAAACTGAGGGAGAAGAGAAAGACTGGGGAAGCGAGAGAAGGTCGATGGATCGGATGATGCAGGGAACCGGAGCCGGGGGCGATAAGAGCGACTGACTGGCCGCGGACGGGGCGTCGGGAAACTGCCTCGGTTCCCGCATGCCGCTTCTCCTCATGACAATCTATAGTACGTCGTCTCGATTTGACGCTCCACATGCACTCACATTCTCCCCTTGCTTCCATTACATCGACCGTTTCCGATTACTCTTACTAGATCTATAAGCCACACATTTTATCTTTGGTATATATCCCGTATATTGTAGGATAGATGCATATGGCATCAAGATTCTGCGTATGTACACGGTCCTACGCGAGGACCAAGGGCTCTCCTAACACCGGCCTCCCCTCCCTTTTTTCCATCAGAGACAAGGAACAACTTTTGAAAACCCCGTGGAAATCAAAGAAACCATCCTGAGAACACATAAACATCCAATCATGAAACCAGCAGGCGCAAACAAGAACGTCCTCCGCCAAGGGAGCCGCTAAAAAGAGTAAGGAAATAGGAAACATCAAAGCTCTAATAATAAGGACAAGAAACGTCTATCCCGGTTGGAATAAATGCATGATTAGAAAGAGACCCTAGGCCAGAGATCGATTTCGATCGCCTGGCTTAGGCAGAAGCCTGAGCAGCGAGCTCCTTCTCCTTGGCAGCGAACTGAGCCTGCTCGTCGGCCGTGAGGTCCAGGAGGGGCTTGTTCTCGCCCAGCTTGAGGTTGCGGTAGTAGGCACGGATGATACTGTCGGCATCATCGACAGCAATGGGGCGGATATCGGCCAGAGCCTTGATCTTGGCCGTGCACTCCTTGTACTGGTCATCGGTCATCTCGATCTTGAGCTGCTGGGCACGCGACTTGATGGCGTTCCAGCCGGTCAGACGAGAAGCGAAGTGGACATAACGAGACATGCCGAAGTCGGCAGGGTTGATGATCTCGTAGGTGCTGGGGTTGTTGAGGATGGCCTTGGCGTGGATACCGGCCTTGTGGGTGAAAGCGCAGAAACCGGTGATGTAGTTGTTGAAGGGGATGTTGACCTCAACGGCCTCGGCAACGAGGTCCTCGATATCCTTGAGCTTCTCCAATCTGTACTTGCTCTTGACGTACTCGGGGTCGGCAACCATCATGCGGGCCATGAGACCACCGAGGGGAGTGATACCGTTACGCTCACCGATACCGAGGACGGAGGTGTCAATGTGGGTGGCACCAGCCTCCAGGGCACAGTAAGCGTTGGCAATAGCGCAACCAGTGTCGTTGTGGAAGTGGGTTTCGATGTCACAGCTAACAACACCCCTCAGGACACGGACAAGCTCGTAGACCTGACGGGGAGAAGCGCAGCCGACGGTATCGGCGATACCAACACGGTTAACACCGACCTTGTCGACGGCCGAGTAGATGGACAGGAGATCGACGAGGTCGGAGCGGAAAGAGTCCTCACTGGAGAAACGGATCTCAATGCCCTTGGACTTGACGAATTCGATGACTTCAATGGCGGTATTCTTGATGTAGGTCATGTCCTTGCCGTGGGAGTGCTCACGGAGGTAAGAGGAGGTTCCAATCACAACATCGCTGTCCGGAGCTGTTAGCAGTCGAACATGGCATATACAAGACAAACAGCACTTACACTCCATCGACACCGGTCTCGACTGCAATGCGAGCATCGTCCATGTGGCAACGGATGTGAGTAAGGATCTGAATTTTTGAAAATTAGCCTGATGACGCACTACTCGCAGTGAACAGGGGTAACATACCTTAGCCTTCAGGCCAAGCTTGCAGATGGCCTCACAGTCCTTTCTCGACTGCTCGGAAGCGCAGGGGCTGGTAAGCTCAATCTAAAGTGGTGGTCAGTGCACGCTCTCCGGCATTGTGATGTGATCCACCGGGGTATGACTCACGTAGTCAACACCGAACTCATCGAGGGCCTTGGCGATTTCAATCTTCTTCTCAGTGTCGAAGAAAGCGTTGGCGAACTGCTCACCCTCACGCAGGGTACTCTCGATGATCTGGAAGCGAGAGACGTTGCTCAGGAAGTCGGTGACACCGACGTTGTGGCCGTAGGGGTTCCGAGAGACGGAAGGGTGGGGGTTCTGGCGAGTCTCAACGGCAGTGAAGCCGGGGTGTTCACCTGAAAAGGTATTGGTTAGCATAGGCATTTGCAGTTCATGTGTTTGCGAGCTGAAATCATACCGTTGTTGCCATTGCCATTGGCGACGTTGGCCTGCCCATTGGGCTCGTGGTCTGCACCGGGGCACATTGTGAATGAATTGATGGTGGGGTAGCACGCAGATAGATCGGTAGTATATACTTTAGACGGCAAATGGCTATAGCGAGGTTAAATGTCAGTATTGAGCAACCAGCGTTTGAATGAGAGCAAAGTGAGATAGATATAGGAGGGAGACTAACAAGCGAAGCCAGAGAATGAGTCACAGCTGGATTTAAATGGAGAGATGGTCAATGAGGGAGAGGCAGGGAAGAGTCATAGGTTGCCAGGAGAAAGAGAAAAGTGGGCGGAGATTAAAAAAAGGCGGGCGGTCAGCGCAATGATGATTCGCGGGCAATGCACTGGAGACTCCTCGGCCGGTCCCTCTCTTTTGCTCTTTCTTTCTGCGGCAACGACGAAATTTTCACCCTCTTTTTTTTCGCCTGCTGGAACTGGCTTACACTCCTCTTGTGGGGAACCTGGACCGTGAACTGCGCATCCGGCAGCCCCAATTGCTCAGCGTGAGGATCATTCCCCAGTCTCCAACAGGGTCAACCAATGTCCTGTAGTCATTTCTATTATTAAGGTCTACTCCATTCTTTTGCCTACAGGCTGCCTCGGGGGGCTACTCATGGGCGGTGACGGCTACGTGGATTTGCCACTGAAAGGGTATGCCAACGAACAGACGAATGTGCCATTCTTGGTACAGGTGGCTGAGGGGGGGAAGTGCATTTCGCTGGTAGATCTTCGTTTAGGCATCCTATCGCTGCTACCGAGGGCTTTTAGCCTTTTTGAAATCCCAGTCAAGGAGGGTTTGTGTCTAGGGTTCACCACCCACTGCTAGTGAGCACTTGGGTTTAGTTCAACCGACATCGGCAGGGGGGGCGTTTTCCGAATAGATAGCGTCTTCAATGGGCTCGCGTCGAGATGCCAACGATTGATAATCGCCTTTCCACCATCGACCGTGGAATCGTTTTTATTGGATGAATTTGATTAGCAGTCTCCAAATGTCCTGGCAACCATATCTGAAGAACTGCGTAACCTGAATCATAACGTTGACTAAGGTGGGAGAACCACCCTCCTGAGGCCGTTGCTACTCTCTCTCCCCCAGTTCAGGACTTGAGTCACATCCAGTACGTCACCGATGGCCGATACCGCCCCTCTATTTTCATTTCCTGGCTTTTCGTTGGTCAACCTGAATTACGTCAGGTATCTCTCGCCCGATAGAGTAATATGCTGCTGATCCCTGCACCACTGTTGGCGTTAGTCCCTTTTCGGTATAGACTGCTCTGGCCAGGCCTTTATCCGTTATGTCCGTCTGCATTATTCCCTATTGGGGATGCCAATACTGTACTTATGCCTGCATTTATTGCAGAGCTTCAGTGGCACTCAGTATTAAGCATGTAATAAATGCAGGGACCTATGTTGTTTACATCGTATCCTAACGTCGCAGCTCAATAGCCTGGTGCGTGGCTTTTTAAGAATACTAAAAATAACAGCATAGTAGTCGCTGGATTTGGTGGTATCACTCATATATGTGCCTGTTAGAACGAATTGGCTAGTCCATGCATCTTGGGTTACCCAGCTTTCATCGTTATAGTAGTCTACATAAAACGTTCTGTCAACCTCTAAGTTTATGGAATCATCAAAATGAGAGGGGCTCTACAAAGGCGTAAGGGAATAGTATAAGCATAATATTTGGTGGCACCAGTTGCACCTAGTACTTGAAAAGTAACTTGATTCGTAAGTCAATATACTTTGTTGAAATTAGAGGTTTCAAAGATATACCAGCTATTACTCTATATTATATTCGCCGCAGACTGGAATTTCAGCCTACCCTTCGCCCATGTAGTGTGTTTCGAATTTCGATAGCCTCGTCTTCCTCATCATACTATATCTGGAGCCCTGGGCCTACGCAGGTTATTTGGAACACGAAGATAGAAGGTTATAATCTCGAATCTCCACCATCTTCCTCGATAGTGAGCGGATTGACTCCCTTTACATCTACTGACTCTTATGGATTAGCTGAGGCTCAGATAATTAACCCAAACGGCGTGGGACACAATCGTCTCAGCCAAGACACAGGGATATTTAGGTATCATGTCTTAGGGAGCCTTAATTCTTTTCTCATTAACCCGAGTGTATTCACCAGAGATGACCATTGAACAAGATGTTCAGAATGTAGGTATATTTATGTCAAGGTTCTACTGTATTTAATTTAGATAGCAGCAAGTATTAATACTATCAGACAGTCTAGATACCTCTACCAGTTTGTGAAACGCCTGAAGAAACAATTGACTCGCGAGGTGATTAATACTTTACTCGTGGCACGAGAAAAGTTTTTAACGCAGGAGGCCCATACTCTGTCAAAAGCAATCTCATCAAGACCGAACTAATTGCAGGATTGCCCGACCTTGAATTAGGAACATACTGACAGATTGTCAGGATACTAAGGAAAGTAGATTTAGTGCACCTTCAGGGTACACTCCTACAATTTCCAGAGACATGAGTGAAAGAATCACAAAGATACCCTTGGCATAGTCGAGCTTTTCTCGAACCCGGAGAGTCTTTTTTGCAAAATCATTCGGAAAGACATAGAGAGCTTACGGCCTTGAATTGTCATTTTGTTGTGACTACTCAAGACTACAAGGCACGATCATGATGGGGTAGATAAAGAAAGGATAGACTATTTCATCTACTGGCTTATAGATTCAGATACATCACAAAGTGATAGAAGGCAATAAACCTGATTCTTAATATATGACACAATACACAGCGAAGCCGTGGGAGAAAGTTGATGATAAGAGGGAACGAGAGATATTACAAAGCAAAACTCAGTTGGAAAAGGGGACACAAAACTGGTCGGTACCTATCTCTACGAGGCAGAGTGTAGCAGGTGTTGTGTTGGAAAACGAAGATCTCCAGACCCTCGAATATGGCTGTAAGGGAGAGAGCGAAGCCAATCGTTGCATCTGTGATTGTTACTGTAAGGTTCTATTTTGAATAAGATAGACATTATGAATGGGAAGAACTCATGAGTTGAGATAGGGATTTCTTCTTGGAAAAGAGGCAAGTCTAGTGCATTTAACCTCAAACTTTGAAGCTCACAATGATCCTATGACCTACCTAATATCCTTTTTTAAATACATGTAAGGAATTTTTGGGTACTCAGAGCAAATAATAAACATTGGTAAGATTCTGGAGAGAAGAAATTGAAAGAAAATATCGCAGTGGCAAGGGCAGGTCATCTGAACTAGGATAAGAACCCTGAGATTCCATTGCCTTAATGATTAAAATATCAGACATATACCGCACTTCTACGTCGCTAACAGAGCCTGGGTATGCTGGACCTTGGACAGATTCTTAGTTCGAAAGACTGGGTCAGTCACTGGAGTATATGCGAAGATAACAGATAGCGAGTCTGGTTCTGCAAAACGCTTAGGTACGTCTAGGACACCTTGAGTTGTCGCATTGGACTCTTATCAATCTACATGTATGCTTCCAATGAATTATACCCTGTTCCGAGTACTAAAACGGTGTCCAAGTGTCAAGTAGGTAGAAATAGGCAGCTCTGGGAGAGTTGCACAGTCAAATGATTATGCAGGTGCTCATCTCGTTTATGAGCCCCTAAAGCTAGTCCGCTCTTCTGTCCAGGACCTAGAACCACTGATATAAATCGATTGTTTATCTGACGTGCTAATTATGTTCCTTACTTTGCGGTCTTATAGGAAGGTATATCCCATGCGAGGATTGAGTACAGCCTCAGAACCAACTATTGGTGGGTTTGTGATGCTTGACTTTGGAATGACGGGCAGTTGATGTTGCATATGTTTCTGTTCAAGCTGTGAATCTTTAGTACGATACCCGAAAGTGGAAAAGATGGCTTATGAGATGTGTATATGTCTTTTCAAAACAGGTAGCCTTCTGTTGAGGATCTGGTTGTCCTGTGCCTGTAGCAATTAGCATAGAATAATTAGGACTGGTGTTGGGAGTCAGTCAAACAAAAGAGCTACTCTTACGCATAGATGCAGTATCAAAACAAAAGCAAACCAAACCGACTGAGCCTTTCCGATTCTTCGAGACTCGTTCGAATCCATGTACACTATGCATCGGCTCAAGCGGCACCTCTTCAATAGCAGTAATATGTTCCAGGTATAATACAGGGATCTCTTCTATCTAGATCGCATAATGATTTCCCAGTCTGGTAATACATCCGTGCCATTACTTAGTATCTCATCTTGCACAACCAAAGGATTCAAAGGCGTGTTTGCCATCACTGCCGGACAAGTGAGACCACGATAAACTAGCCCCCGCCCCTATGGAACAAATTAGGGCTGATACAGACCCAGCCGACGAATCCTTCGCCCGAGCTCCTTCAGGAGCTTGTACGTCGGCAAGGCGCTATCTGGGGACTCGACTCTCCTCGGTGGTTTGTCCCAAACCACACTAGGACTTGTCCCACTATCTGTCGGGCCAAAGTTGTGCCATCTCAGTATCCAATAATTTGGCAAGTATGATCTTCCTTTCCAACGGGGCAGGTGGGATCTTCAAGTCGTTGTGCTCTAGTCTAGTACCGACTAGATCAACTGCAGGCATTTGTAAAGTCAGCTAAACGTGGTTGTGGCGCTTGCTGAGAAAAATCGGGACTTCGGATCACCGTCCTGGAGCATGGGGAGAAAACAGTTTCCTACAATAGTAGACATACTCGGAGTCCTTATTGGTGCCAAAGCCTGTCCTGGGGGACAATATGGTACAATGACAACTACTTACTAGTTTGGATGTCAGACGTCTCTGGAACCCACCCAAGACATAGGTGCCACTCCTTCGGCCATACCACATGGAGTATCTGAGATGTTGACTGTACATTCGTCATGCCTGCATGCGGTCTTGAATTCTCTGAGCTTACCGATTACGCGATCGTCCCCGCTTCAAATGAAGTCAATGAAACATACACCTAGGGATGTTCATGTTTTTGGTTGTGACGACCTCTAGAATCGTATGCTACTATATTTTGCCGGGTTCTATATTTAGCAGTCACGATTCACTTTGAGGGC